AACACGCGTCTTACTCACCCGACTTGGCACCCTGCGATTTTTACTTGTTTCCGAAGATAAAATCTGCCTTAAAAGGAATCCGGTTTGAGTCGATGGAAGAGGTGAAACAAAAATCGGTGGAACTCCTGAATGGTCTTATGAAAACAGACTTCCAGCACTGCCTCGAGCAATGGAAGAAACGAATGAAACATTGTGTGGTGAGGGGAGGAGAGTATATTGAAGGGGAGCATTTGAATGTAGAATAACTTTTATAATAAAACACTATTTCGTAACCAGTCTCGTTATCTAATAGCCACACCTCGTATGTCGGATAAATTAGAAAGGATGCGGAAGCCGGAGGTTATGGAGAACCGAAACGAATGACGAGTGTCCCGCGGTCGACCGTTCATAATGTAGAAGACCAACCTACAGATCGATAAGAAAATAAGAAAAGCTATTCTATAATATGTACGATTGGAGAGAAGTCTAGGGCTATTTAATATAATAATATAAGAAAACTCTGTATACATTATATATATATAGGTAACCGTAGTATTTTTTTTCACCAGTGAAGATAGTCCAGTAGTAAAACAAAGGTACTGCAGGACGAGTGATATTTTAATATTAGCCTCTTTTGTTGCCGCTATCGTACGGCACTACGTTGCGCTAACGTTCGCGGGGATCGTCCGGATGGCGTATTTAGAAATCCTATCCGAGTTCGATCCGAGCCAAAACGTAACCAAGGTAGTTTTAAGAGGTTCTAGATGGTTTTAAGAATTTGTTTCAAAACATCAACAATCTGCAGTATATTCGTCTGTCTGAACCCGATTCCATTCCGATGAAGTTAGAGGAGTATCCTGAGTGCAAACCTAAAGTCTGTATAGGTCCTATTCGATGAAAAACCATGACGATTTGTTTGCCCATTTACATACCGTTTGGGCTGAACTCGGATAGGGTCTGTAAATACGGTTTCCGGATGTGGTGGTGAAACGAGCGGACGGAATTCAAATGCAAGAGTCGAAATAATAATGTATTCTAACTTGCCGGTCGGTGGGGATAAATACGATTAGGGGTCGTCCTGTCCGGTGCGAGAGGAGACTTCCGGTATAAATTACGGTGGACGGTTCGGTTGACCGGCAAATTCGATAAGTGGACGCTATATACAAAGGAGAGAGAGAGAAAGAGACAGATAAAGAAATAAGATAAAAAAGAACACACTTGCAAAACGCAATTTCGTAGTGATGGATTTCGGGTATTGTGCTTGTGTGCGTGAAAATCTACCCTATTTGTAAAATTGCGGTTGGTTGGAAACTTTTTTTTCCTTGTTTTTTTTTTTTTTTTGACAAAGACTTGATAGATAAGTGAATAGAAAAACCCCACGCGTTATTTCACAGTCATGGGGAGAAGTGGAGGAGTGGGATGGGGAATTATAATAATTTTCACCAACTGCACTGCAGTGTTGCGTGTTTGCGACTGAAATCATTGTATAATATTATACAGTCGACACCGTTTATAATGACGTATCGATTTTAATAACCTTAGATTGAAGAATGGTATGCAATGTGTATCATTCTTCAGTCATACAATTAGATTCTTTTTTAAAAAATTCAGTTTTTCATTTAAAAAACTCAATTGGTTTATTTTCCGCTTCAGGGTGTTTAGTTTGTTGGTGACGTTTTAATAGCGAAGGTTTTATACTTTGGTTTGAAAGTGTCTCTTTACATACGTATAACGCATAGGGGAATAGGGTTTTCACTATTTTATGTTTCCGGTTTAATCACAAAGCCAAATTTCAAATAATTCACATCGTACTTACAATTTGGCTGTGTTTTTGATTTTTTACTTGGGTTTCCAATGGAAGTAGTATCATCACTACACTTAAGAAATCTCTTCATAATTAAATTTTACGTACAAATTTAATTTAATTAAAAGTTTTGTAAAATAAAACACCACTAAAATACAGATCATTTCATACGACATACAAGACGTATGAAATAGCGATACACTAAAATAACTCGTTGACATTTCGTTCGTATATTTTCTAATAATCGTTATCGCTAATTGAGTGGCCATAACCATATTGTATAAAATATAATACAAATAACACCAACGTTAAAACTATAAGAAAGTGCTTTATCGATAAGAACTATAATAACATATAGAGCTTATCATTATCTAAAATTCTAAATTGCTACGATTAAAAACCCCATGTCATCGACATTAAATATTATTTTGATAATATAATAATTTATTTATAAAATTAGCTTATATCAAATAAACCAAACTAAACTAAATAATATTGAATGAAAATAGTAATAAAAAAATTTCTTCGCGTACCACGGGTTGGGAACCTCTGATATACAAGATAAAATGACTACACGGGTGATTTTCAGTCATATTTGAAAAATCTGTTACCTATAATGACTGTATCCAATTTTTATCGAAGGTAATAAATAATATAACAACCGATAATATTAGATGAAAATACCACATAATTTGTATACAAATCAAGAAAACAGATTTTTTTTTTTTTTTAATACAAAATTAATTTAATTTTGAAACAATAAAACGTATTTTCTTTATTTAATTTTTTTCTGTACGTATGAAATCACGATTTAATGCAATACAAATTTGACTCATTGATTGTAATACAATAATATCATATTCACATAACATTTACATAATCGAGTTTTCATATTAAATTTTGTCATTTTGGTCGTGACGACTAATTTTAACTATATAGTGCCTTATTAAATGGCGCCATTACAAACGGTCTCTACTGCCTACTCGCCGCGGGCGTTTTCGCGAATAATTCCAAAATGTTTTCGCGGCCGTGACGGCGGAGAGGTGGGTCGAGGAACACGAGATAATTGAATATTAATAATTTTAACACGTCTGCCACCGTTTGCCACCGCCGCCGCCGCCACCGCCACTGCACCGGTGTACATATTATACGTCATTTTATATGTATACATGTACGTATGTGTGTGCGTGCACGTGTGCGTACGTACAATATACATAGAGAGACTAATAAGTTTTGATAATTTATGACGACAGATCAGTCCGGAACATTTGCAGGCAGTCAGCTTTTGACTGGTCCGCGCGGCAGTGGCGGCACACGTTGTAATATATTATTAATAACGCGAAATTAACTCGGCGGTCGCGTCCTCGCCCGCGTCCCGCGCATCCGCGGCGCCGCCGCCGCGTCCGCACCGGCACCGTACGCCACACCGAACACACGCCGAGCGCATCTTTCCGGTAAAAACTGTCCGCGCGAAACGAACGCGGGTGTGGGTAGGCGCGCGCGCGCGCGAAACGGTAATAATTCATCCTCAGACTATCACGGCCAACCTCCCTCTCTTCCCCCCCTCCGCCACCCGTACCTCCTCACCGACGAGCGCTCGCGAAAAACCCTCTCGCGTTTTTCTTTTCGCGGCGACCTGTATCCTGGACACCGAATACGCACTTTATAATGACGTTTTCTATATACACGCCGGTACACCGACACATAACAATAATAATAATAATAATAAAATATATTTCGCGGTCTGGTTTTGAAACGCTCGGCGGCGACCCAGCGCACCGCAGAACGATGCGATAATATTATTTATAGAAGTCGGCCGGCAGTTACCATATCGTCAACATAGCTGCTTCGCCCGCGTAGATATTTATAACGCCTCCTACGCGGGGTGTACGTGCGATTTATAGTCTCGATATGCGGATAAAACGCATGCGATTGTACGCCCCGATGGAGGACTGCAGAAAAAATATAGCGAGACGACGTTTAAAAACCATCTATATATTTGCATATTCAGTTAACTTGAAAATATCGAAATTATTTCCCCCTCAAAATTGCGCGGCTTCTGTACGCTCGCCCAAAGTCGTATTTGATATCTACAAGTAGGCGCGTTTTAAGACCGTAAACAAAAACCCAAATCGTTTACTTTTGTGAAACACCGTTGCCGTCGTCCCGGTTAATTGCATAAATGTATAGAACGACTTTTACACGCTTTTTTTCTACACCACTTTTTCGACCCTCGTAAGGGGGCCGGATACTATCGGTAAACGGAATTATTCGATGGTAAAAAAACTCGAAGTTTCGGGTTATTAAACGCGTGCGTTTTTAATTGTTCTTTGTAAAAACGTCGACGCCCGTTCTTAACCACTAAAGAGGTTGAATTTTGAAGAAAAAACCTTTTCTTGACGGTCTTTTTCTACGTTACAATAAAAATAACCTTTGCGCAAAATTTCTAGACCCAGTGGCGTAGTCTGTGCGTTATTGATACGGCGTGTTCAGTCAGCGAGTCAAGAATTCAAGTCTCGTCGGTTGGCATAATATAAAAAAAAGTCACGTGCGGTAAACCGACAAATTTTTCGAAAACGATAAGGCCAACATATTATATACCTGCTGTTATATAAATAAAACGCGATTACTTTTATCCCTACGTTCGTACGTTGATGCAGCGGCCTATGTCCGTAATATTCCTTTGATGGTCTTTCACTGAATCGCATATTTGTTCGCTACGATGCCCATTATATGTACGTATCCTAGGAAAAAAAAAAACTCATATAAAAAGTCAAGATTTTATTGTTATTATTATTTTTATTTTTTTATACTGTTTCTGAAAACAAATCCGACTGACAAATTATTAAGTTTTAAAATCAAATTTATTAATCCGGTTTTTTTCCCGGACTTTTTTTCTATTATTTTTTTTTCGCTCATAAACTAATATTTTATTGACGACTTTTAAGGAACAATCTGCAAATGTAGCCTGCCCAGTCTCTTATAGTCTTGCCCTTGTTTCAGCAATAATTTCCGCTGCACAGGAAATCGCACTGACGCCGAGTGATCGTTTTTTTACTGTCTCCTCCATACCCACGAGTCATTCACGACCAGCAACGCGCGCACGAATTTGCAACGGGAGGTGAAATTGAAAAATATAATAATCACGGTAAACCGCTAGAATCTTTTCTCCTTTATCTAACAAAGACACGATTCAGTTGTTTTGTTAAACTGCGAAATGGCGTTCGAGATGCTGGTAACGAGCCATCTAGGTAGGGGTTGTTGTATGCTATCGAACGCGTTTTTGTTTACCGTCAGGGACCGCAGTAGGTCGTTCACGGGTCTATCGTAATAAGCGTTCGGAGGCTGCGGTCGGGCTCGGGCGATCGGTCGGCCGTAATAACAGCGAACCGTCCGCGGGTCGTTATTTCGGGGGAAAGTACATCGGCGACAGAAAATGATAATAAGCTCCGCGCGGTCGCCGTGTACCAATGTATCGGCGCCGGTAGAATAAAAGATGTTTCATCCCCGGGCTCGTTTCCCATCGGGGTAGTACGGACCTCGCGATAGCGACCGGGTTTTGTTTCGCGTGCAAAACGACGGCACGTGTGCGTGCGAGGAGCGTCGTGACGGCGGCGTTGACGTTATCACTCGCGAGGTCTTTGGCGGCGGCGGCGGCGGCGGCCAAAAACGCCGTGTACAGTGTAGTTGGCGGACGCTCCGTCAAGAAAACCGGGGGCGTTTTCGGCCGGGGCGCGACAGACGGCGGTACAGCTGATCGTCCTCCCCTGCAGGCTGGCCGTGCGGTCGAAGCGGGGCGGTACCGGAATCGTATATAAATTCCCGTGCGACCGCTCCGATTGTTCCAGTGCGCGCGTGTGTCCGGTCGCCGTGTCGCCTTTAATTCTCTCCGTGCCGCCGCAGCAGCCGCAACACGCGTTCCCGACGACGGCCACGACCACGACCACAACTGCAAACGAAACTTCCGGTTAGTCCATATTATACTGCTATGCGTAATACAATAATACAATAATATAATGATATTATGCGCGCGTAAAACGTGTTTCGTTATTTTTGCGCGTTTACTGCGTCGCGTATTAAACCCGGAATATTACAATAATTATTGTACCGCGATATTACAATATCTTGCGTTAAAATTACACGACATTTCCGGCGTGCTTTTGCCCGTATAGGGACGGTCGGCGCACCCATCACAAAGCAATAAACGAGTTTTCCGTTGCCGGAGAACGTGGTTATTTTATTTTTTACGATAATTTCGGTTCGTTTAACCGTTCGATAAAAATGTGTTTTACCGAGCGAACGGCCATTTTGATAATTTGAACGTAATCCAACTATATAATACAAAAATTACCATAATAATATTTCGGAGCGGACGAGTTTCCTATAATCATCCGATAATTACTGTTTTGTCAATCGTATTGTCCTGATATTTCAATCGTTTTGGCGAAAAGTGTTTCACTTTTCAGAACCTGCAACGTTATGACGTTTCCGTCCGCTCGAGGTTCATTGGATATTTTATTATTATGTTCCGTGGTTTTTATTCTGCGGGATCGTCACACCAGAAACGTTTCCAGGGCGTGGCCCTAGGATTCCTCGTCCCCTAACCTCGCATTTTTTTGTTTAAAAATATATATATATATATATTCTATGGACAATTACAGACACGTACAAGTGTATAGTTAAAGATATCTACTATCTATTACTACTTTATTATATTAATAGTATTAAGTATTATTAAGCTATAAAATAGAAAATTGTTTTTTGTTATACAGTTTTCTAAAAAGAAATATGACTTTATTCTCCCTCCCAAACAAGTCTCTGCAGGCGACGCCCCTGGTCACACCCAAAGTGAATAGGAGCACACTAGAGTGTACATTATACCGTATGATGTTATAATTATTTATTTTTATCGCTACACGCATAGATGGGCGCCCATTGCTGTAGGGGTGAAGAGAGCGGGACATGTCCTCCCATGAAGAATATTGAACCTAAAAAAATCGTGATTTTCTCGTGTCTCCTGACGCATACAGTAGCCCGGGTAGTTATCGATTCACCCTCTCGTAACGGAGCTACCCAGTCATGATTCATAACTCTATAACATTTTTAAAAGTCTTGTGTTTTTATTTCCTTTACATGTTTATGAGATGTGGAAGAACAGTAACGGGACACTTTTTTATTTGTTTACGACGATTTCGTCTGTTCTTTTTTCTACTTCAAAGTAATTATAGCGCCCATAGCGTCTATGAGCGTGGGCGTCTTTGTTCCAGTCTTCGTACACGTTTAGCTCCCGCATTACGTTTATTCGGATGTTATCGACTTTATTTCGAGAAGACGGTTTCGACCATTACAACCAAACAAAAAAAAAACAAACAAATAATCACCGATCTTATCGCGCAGCAGTATTTGAATTGTGTGCGAATTCAACGATGTCGGTCCCGTTACTTTTCTACCCGCGTCTAAAAATTACCTCGCACGTGCATTTGCGACTGATCGGCCGTAAATCATTTGCGTATCATGCAAACCTGTGCCAAAATATTGTACATCGTTTGCGCATCAACGGCTGAAACTAAAAAACCGCTGAAACGCACTAAAAATAATATTGTAAAGCAATATTTGATATATTGTAATGTCCCATTATTTTCACGAAATGAAACCTAACTGGGTTACCTACACAATATTATTACGGTAGATAATATACATATATATATATTTTAAAACAGAAATTACTACACAATATTTGAAAATTGAATAGCAAATTTAGAGATGTGTGAATTTTAAGCTTGGAAAACAACATAAGTTTTTGGGTAAATACACCTTTTTTCAGTTTTATTGTTAAATAATATTGATGTATGACTTTTTCACCGGTCGATGCGCGAACGATTTTTAACACAAAAATCGAAAGATGCGCAACCGTCTTATAGAAAAAGTCAAAATTGACAATAGTGACGCGCAAACGAAGACCGTCCCAACCGATCACCGGTCCGCACCGGTGTGGTATTCCGGTGCGGTCGGTCGAAACTACAACACGACCTATTCAAATTAAACCGCGAAAGGGACGGGGACAAAACATTTACACACAATATATATATATACACTGCTATAGCTGTTTTAAAAGTTTTAGCGCAACTGCTGCCGTGCAAAGCCGGTGCGTGTATTAATATTAATATAGTCGGGTGCGGTGTAACGTTATACACATTGTTTTACGAGATCCGCGTATATTATACACTTCCGTTTTACATCGCGTTTTATACGAACAGACGCGTGCGCGTACTATTATTATTATTATGCGCCCTCGGGTTATTTTCGCGTTTCGGGCCCGCGGAGTGTTTGGTTTTTAATACAACGTACACGCATAACATACACCTATATACATGTATGTTATTTTTTATTTTTTTAAAATTTCAAGATAATGTTTTTATTCTAACGATATATCCTATAGTGAAAACGCGTCAGTCTCGTAAACGTGCGTATTATAATGACAATTTCGTCGTAAAATGTATAACTACATACTTTATATACGTATATATATAATTATATATTATCATTCTCCCGTGGCATTTACTTTACGTGCCTTATATTATAACGTTTCTTCTCGAACCGTACGCAATTTTTAGACGCGTGAGTTTAAAAACCCTTTTACCGTTATTAATATAATATTATGATGTAACGTTCACGCCGTATAACATAATGATAATATACAGTACCGTTAAAATAAAGACACTTTTCGCACTGCCGAGGCCCTGTTAAACACCCGTAATATATAATTTTAATAATGTATTCATCCTGTTGTAAAGCGAAAAAAAAATATGATACGCTTTTACCCTGGACAGACCGCGGGTATTAAGATTTCTCGTCGTGTTATGTACTCTGCTGTATACATGCAACCGCACCGAACGAAACTTTGAAAAATGTTCTCCGTCACGATCGACATTTTTTTTTTGGAAATCGGCCAGAATACATATTTCATCGATAAAAGGGCGAACCACGCCCCCTCCCTCAATTTCACACACCCGATCGCGTTGTAGTTTATCACATAGTTTTGTTAAAACTTGAACAACTTGTATTCAGTGACTATAATATCCTTTACATAATAATACTTCTATATATTCTCACGAATTTAGATTTATACTCATTCGCGTATCCGATAACCCATTTAAAAAATTACGATTACAAGAAGTGATTTAGAAATACAGACTAACATGTAATTTTTTCAGTAACATTAATGACCCGTACGTGCTGAAATGTAAAACATTGTTAATGTACAAACTAAATAGTTCATTGTTTAAACGCCCTGTTCTTTTTTCACGATTATTAAAAATAGTAATTGGACGTGTGCAGGATAAACTAGATCACGTACGTTTCTCCAGCCCCCAATAGACTTTATTGTATTTTTTTCCGCCATTATTTTGTGTTTATTTTGAACGACATGATCCGCCAAACGCAATAATTTGCACATGTTTTGGAATTTGAAAAAAAACCAGGGGTATTTTTCCCTTCCGATGAAAAAATCATTTTTTTCTTTTCATTATTTAGTACTTAACTTGTAGGAAAACCTCGCTCGAGACGGAAGGATTATGTTTTCAGGGATTTCGTGACAATAAAACACTGAGTACAATAAAGAGAGGCGTCAGATGACAGAAATAGACAAAAGAATATTTGCTTGGAGCAGTAGTAGTTTTAAAGTTTGGAAAGGTAGGTGGATTTCCTCACTCCCTTAGGCTGTAGGTTTTACAATTTTATTTTATTTTTACCAAAATAAGAGTTTATTCTTAATCACCAACTACAACTTACGGTAAACCTCGTATATAGTTTTCGAGCATTTCTGCTCGACTAAAATCAACCTGCCCACATAGAACCAAATGAAATCGAAATAAACTTGAACATTTTAAATGCCTATAAATTGATCAAAAATCGCCAAAATGTATAAAAAATGACTCGTCTAGAAATAGCTTATATAAGTATTGTATAAAAATATCTGATTTTATACTATTATTTCTATCTTAAATTAAAATTTAAGAAAAATAAAAAACAAAAATTAAATATATTAAAATTGTTATTGCTATATATTTTCCTAAAAAATTTTTCGCGGGTTTTTTTTTTTAAGAAATCTATAAGGGAAATCAAAAAATTATCGCCACGTTACCCCTTAAATATAAGAGGGTTGTACTTAATTTATAATACTGCGGGTCGAGAACTTTTTACAACAACCTTTCATCCTATGTAAAAATCGTTACATCGTTTGTCACTACTACCCCACTATACAATATACATGTGAAATCCAAGGGAAACTTATAGTTTTCGAGGCGTCCAATAGAAAAAAAAAAACGAATGTGTCAAAACGCAGTATTCAAAGAAAAGCCAATAATTAATATTTGGAATAATCTTCTTAGAAGAATGTTCATTCAGGGATAATGTGTAATAATAATGAAAATAAAAGGACGTCGACGTCTACGGACTCCCGATAAATTAAAAGCGAAATCAGGAAATTGTTTAAAATTGACGGCAATAAACCCGAGAGCTCGTACACCGCACTAATCGAAACGGATCTACCGTTGCCGCAGGCGCAGCGTGGCAGCGAGGGATTGCGAAATTGAATATACGGAACTCGTCGACAGGCCCACTAAGCCGAGCATTTTTCGAATACTTTTTTTGCGGATTACTTTGCGGACGCGCGTCGCCAAATTAATTTGTCGTTGAAAGTTTACAGCTAACCGAGCACATCACCGAACGCTGCAGCTATTATTATGCGGTCTTTTCGTCGTCCCAGCGTCTCCTCGCGATTGTTTATCGGACTCGTAACGAGGATTTCAAACCGTTCGAGTGTACATAACAGACTCTAATGCTTATTTCTGGATAAAAAGTAGAAAGAAATTATTTATAGGCCACTGAATAGCGCGCAAAGAGTTGGCAAAAAAGTTCATTTTTTTTTTTCATTCGTGCGTAATATTTATATTAATTTACAGTGCACTTGGATTTAATGTCGCATCTATATAATATTATAACACGGCGCAATTTAGTCGTCATTTTTTATTTTTCTAATAGTATTTCACTACAATGAAAATATTTATCATCATTTTATCATCGGTTGTTGATCGATATTGGTGAAATAAACTATAAAAAGGATCGTCTACAGTTTTAACTATAGTTGACCGTAGTAAGTACAATGGAGAGCTATGCGATACGATAAAATAAGGATCAATAACAAGCTTTCTTAAAAGCCAAAGGATTCCATTTGCATTAAGCTATTCAATAAGAAGACATGATGATGAGAGAAGTTATCGAATGGAAACCTTAAGAAAAAAGACCTATAGCGGAACCTAGAAAAAGACGGATTGAAGCGGTAAAATATGATTTTGGAAACCTGGGTATTGAAAATTTGAAGGAAAGTTCAGATATGACGTTAATGAATAATCCTAGTTATTATAAGACGTTAGAAGAGAGAAAAAGAGAGAAAAAAAAATCACTACGGCAATAAAGTCAAATTTTTTCAATCGATAACTGTTCTTGGTAAATAGGATAGGCTTGTTCCAGAATTATTAAAGTTGAATATTTTGAAAGTCTAAAAGTCCCCTTCTAAAGGCAAATGTAGCGTAAATCGTATACCGGGGGTACAAAGATAATACTTTTTATATCCGTGCATAATATGTGTTGGTTTATAATACTATGTATATCTATATATTGTTTATCGTGGAAGGGGGAGGAGAAGGAGGAGAAAAATCGTTTTCGTTCGGTGGAAACACAAAAACTATTTTTCAACGACTCGCATACTGCTTCTGCAGCCAATACTGTAATACATGGTTATTTAAGTAGTGGCAGTAAAGATTTTTTTTTTACCCATTATTCCGTTACATTGAAAAGCAACATTCAATTTTTTATCACAAAAGCCGTGTTCGCATTCCTACTACTGTTCTCACATGACTGTGGAAATTATGTTTTTTTTTCTTTTGTTTACAAATTGTAATGCGATACAATATACGCACCGCCTTAGTGCACCTGCGTGAATATAATAATTTACGAAAACCAACCCGAGAAAGTTTCCAGAATTATTTTTTTTAATTTTTTCATCGTCGCAGTTTTATATAGTTGAACGACGTGGTACAAATCACAGAGAGGTTTTTGAAATAGCTGTGTTTTATCGCTACCGTCCCGAAATTTCGTATTCTGCATGACCAAACCGGAAGTTCTATACAGCACCGTATATATCACGCCGTCTAGGTCACTTTATCACTTTCGACACGAACCGGAGTCTATGGACTGGAAACGATCCGCCGCCACCGCCGCTGCTGCCGGTATCGCGGTCGTTCTTGTTCAACCATAATGTACGCGCGGTATATTATTTTCGTCGAGAGAGTGCCGGCGCACGTTAAGGGAGAAAAATAAAAATAAAATAATAAATCATTATAAACCGTGAAGAGTGTCGGTGTTTTTGTCATGCGAAATGTTTTCGCGCAGAAATTTTCGGGGGAGGCGCGCGCGCGCGCATTTCAATTAAAACTCCCGAGAAGTACACTCAACGCGGTCACCCGGCGACGGCGTAGACGACGACGTCAAGTGCGGCGCGATGAAAACGATTTTTCTGGGGAAAAGTTATTATTCTCTCTGGACGCCCGGCATTGGACTATGCGTACGGCTACCACGCCTATAGATATACACGGTATTTTCCAACGCGGGCGGAGAAAAATTAATAAACGCCGAGAAACGAAAAAAAAAAAATAATCAACAGGAATTTCGAGAGTGCTCGGCCGACCACGTCCGTGCAACTATGTGGTCGCGAACTCGTGATCGCGCGCGTGTGTGCCAGTCGGGGAATGCAATAATATATTATAATATATATGATAATAATAAACGAAAAAATTCGGAAAACGCGTCCGATGCGAGTTTATTGCCGCGCATACCGGAATCGTAACCGGCGCCATTACCCGGTATTTACCGCAACGAATATACGCTAATGGTATATACTAATGGTTTATACGAACAATGCGTGTGAGTAATGCGCACTGCTGCCGATTATGATATGGATATAGATAAACGATAATAATATATTATCCGTGTCTCCCGAAGTTTAGCATGCCGATGGTATTTTTTCAGTTCGCGTCCGGCGCCGTGGAAAATAATAACGCACACACAGTCGTGTAACCATCGTATGTGCGTGTATGTGAAATTCGGTCACTATGACATTTACGGCTTTTTTGTTGGTAATCGCCGAGTCTATTTTGCTGCGTCCTAGCGATACTGTAGTCTTCTCCTTAATCTCTGGTGCTCGGTTCGGCTCTCACCTTGATAGTTTTAGGCTTTTCGCGATATCCCGCAGCCGCATATTTTAACACCGTTAGCCCGTATTTCGGACACCCCGACTCTTAATCAATTCCGGTACTTTCGACGGGTTTGAGGTAGGTTCTCATCAGGTGCAGGGAAACGTTTAACCGGGAAGACAGGCGCCCGTGCTTGCAATTCTTCTCTCCATCACCATTATAGTCGGAGTCGTTCTGTTTTGTCAAGCGTCTCTATTTGGTCATTCCCGTAAGAAGTTTCTCCATGATGAACATATCACTTTTAGGTCTTTGCATAACCGTATAACAAAAGGTATTTTTGACCGAAAAAGAAAAGAAGAACACAAGCGCTTGCTTGTTCTTTCCAAACGCGCTGTTCTCTATATTTTTATTTCTGGTAGTGCAATCCCTGATAGTAGGTGGATATTTCTTATTGTTGTTGATCTTAGACATTGCTACTCTGTATGTTTCGTGCTACTATTATGTAATTGTATATGTCAATAATAAAAGTTAGACTGACTTACGGGCTTGAGGTGTAGACTACGAACATAACAGAAATTGAGAAATAAAAGAATAACAATAATTTCAAGGAAAGGGGTCCCAAGGAAAGCCCAGGAAAGATGATCGAATATGGTTCAAAAGGATTTGGATAATTTAGGGGTACGCGAGGGTAGTGGTGCATATGGTGGTGAAAACTTTTGTAAAGTTATACAAGCCAGATGAGAAGAAAAAGAAGACAATATTATAATATCGGGTCAACATGATAATATTATTCCGCAGCACTCGAAACGTGTCAATTCGTCCGTAACCGATTGTTTTTTAATCGATATATTGTAGGTATATAGAATATAGATGTATTGGATTAAACTCACCGTGTGGGCGGTAGCGAAGGTTGTGGGAGGGGAAGAATATTATAAAAGTTTTACCCCTCGTGAAATGTTTGAGTTTTGCTGCGACGACGACGGCCAAAAGTTTCTTCCGCAATGCATGTTTTTTTTCCTACGAGGCCAATCGGAAATCCCGTAATTTGTCTAACCTCATCCGAAACTTTCCGCGTGTAGCGTATTATATTGTTCGCACACAACTTTTCGTCTTTTCTCCGCCCCGCCCCAGCAGTCGAAAAAACCACCATTTATCGTTTTAAACTCGCACGATTCCAGCCCGCAGGACTTAAACACGCAAACACGGTACCCGGGGTGTAGACCACTCGTCGAAATATCTGTAGGGTGCAAAAATAGCACTCGTTAGAATCCAAACTAGACATTTATATTATTCTTGTCGTGTGCGCCCTTGCTTGCAAATTTGGTCATGCCAACAGATATGTTTTAATACAGCTTTCTCTCCAAGGCTACAATCACTATCTTTAATGATTCCTAAACACAGTGTATCACTCCATTTTTTTTTTTTTATCAATTTTTATGAGGAAATTGTTATCAATTTTCTATTACGTGAACGTTTTAATTATTTTCACCTATATATATAGATTTTTTCAATAACTCTTATTTTTTCTATCACGATAACGCCCTGTCTACTGTAGTCATATTTAATTAATTTCGTTACACAAGACCATCAGAAATTCGATAAAGTTATTATTGTATTTTATTCTGTTCTCGTATAGATCGAAAATGCGTAGCTTTTCAAATTTACCGTCCATAATATCAATTTTAAATTCCGATTAAAAAAGTTTTCGAAAAACAATGTAGTTACGCTAGCGCTACAATATTGCACCTCGTTGTTCTCTACAAATATAGCAGTGCGATACTCGTTTTGTTACTAACAAATTTATCGTACTTTTAAATCGAAATAAAACATTTGTTGACCACTTTCGAATTTTATTCACTTGTTTTATAAAATGTCAGTGTTTTGAGATATTTTTTGTACCTATATCGAATTTGTCTTTTAATACATTTACTCGCCACCGAGGTTTTCGTACCTGCAAGTTATTAAGCCAGTACTTGAAATTAATCTTATTATATCATTGGACAATAATAATATCAAAATTTAGATAATAATTGGCTCGTTTCGTTACTAATTCGTCACGTATTTCAGAATAATTTTAATGTATTAAAGTAAGATATTCTATTTCGTTTTTTGATACATTTTTCGATTTTATAGGCATATTTTATTTATTTTTTTTTCATAGAGGAGAGAGTCGGGTATTTTTCGGTTTTACTGTTCCATAAAACTCATACGACCCAGCTGCTATATTATAACATCGGGTTAATCGCCCTTTATTGTTGCCGTTATTATTTGAGAACGACAATGATGTTATTCGCTCGCGAATTTTCCCGTTTCGTTCCGATAAGGCCCGGTTTTTCTGCCAATATCGCTTTTAAGCGTTCCGTTGTCGTCGTTATTATTTTGTGTATTGACCGTCCCGGAACGACGACGCGACGGTGGCGTCGAACGCCCGCGGCGTCGCGTCGGACCGACCGCGACGCAGTAAATGCGCCCGTCGCGTCGCGGGGGAAAACTTTCGGAAAAGTCGGTCTTTTGTGCGCTCCCTTTTCAAAAAGATACGGCGCACGGTGGACAATAGACTGCAGTCGAGACGGAAAATGCGCGCGTCTTCAAGGCGACGGATATCGGCGAAACGCTCGTATTCTGATGAACAAAGTTTTTTTTTCTTCCCCCATACCGTAGAAAACGATCCGACGCGCCGATTCGAATTTCCGCCGTCGGCACGTCCCGGTGAATTTATTAAATTACCGTGTCGCCGTATCTATTTGGTATACAACGAGTATCGCAGCGATAACGATATTAAAATAATAATAATAATAATAACGACAATAATAGCCGTGCCGCAGTAGTAGGCGTTTGCAGCCGTTTTTCGTTTATGTTGTTTCGCATGCCGTCCGATCTTGCAATTTCGGGGCGTTTTTTTTTTTGTCCTCTCTCGCTCCCTCTTTCTCTCTCAGCGGTACGTGATCGGGATCCCCCCCTCTCGAAAAACCGATACCGACCGTTGGGAAAATTAACGTTGCAGTCGTCGACGCGTATACACGTATACAATGTATTGTATTACTGTCGACCCGGCCTTCCCCTCCGCGGGACAGCAGCCGTTACGCGGGCGATACGGGCGCGCGCGACGAAAACATCTGGTCGTTATTGGCCATGACGGCACCGGAATGTCCGAACGAATTGAAAAAAAAAAAACACTCCGGGTCTGCTATACATGACGTGTATAAAGAGCATTGTACGGTATAGTACGGTAATATCTCGTCGTTTTTCGGGCTGACCGAAATTATTATACTTTCGGCGGTCGCGAAACTTGTCGCCGTGTCATCCGACGGCGTTTATTATTGCGGCCGACGTTCCGAAACGATATAACATACGATCCTCGGAAAACAGACTTGTACACCGTCCAAAAAAAATTTAAATCGACCATCCTCCGCCCCTCTCTCACTAGCAGAAATGATTTATAGAAAAATGCTATATATGGGCAAAAAAAAATAAATTTATCGAAACCAGACGAGGATTGCACAGAGGATACTCATCCTCTGTGCAATTATTTGTCTCAGAAATGTTAATAAGCAGACGTTCTATTTACCAGATTCCCGAGTCGATTCGTCTAAATTTGAATTTGTGCTGTACAGTTTTGAAGACCGGTTGACTGAATACAATCTTTACCGTTTTCGGTTTTGACCAAATTAAACTGATTTCGATTAGTGTGATTTAGACTAAAATTCATTTACACTTTTAAGCTTTGGTAGGAGAAGGTAGAATGCAATTTTTGATTAAGCAAAATTTATTTTATTCTGAAACTAATAAACATTTAATCATCTTTTTTTTGACCGAATTCAATCAAGACCGAAGTAAGTCAATCAACTGGTTTAACCGTATTTTGACTGATTTAACTGAAATTACTGAATTCAGTCATGACCGAGTTAAACCCATGGCAATCAAACCAGTCAGAACTGGTTCGGTTGACTAGTTAATAAAAACACCGGTCTGACCAAACAGCACTAATTTTTGAATATTAAATATGATTATGATCGAATTATAAATATCTGTGAGTGTAATTTTTCGTCATTACGCGAATAAATCGCCAGTGTTACCATTTTGTCTGCAATTATTAATTAAAATACATTGTAAATTCAGATAGATCTCCAGGCGATCTGGATATGCCGTTGTAATATAGATTGATCATATTAATCTAGATAATACGGAATTTTAGAATTTTTCAGTCCGCGTGAAACTATGTTTTAATCAGGACTTCTAATTTATCCGGATTAAGGGTTCTGGACTACTCAACTACTACAAGTTCTCTTTTTTATTCAATCTATATAAATTGGGCACCACTCGGTCTGTGCATTTGGTCTATCTCACCCTTAATTTAGTTAATCTAGAATATTTTGCCACAAGAATCTCTAATTACGTCATTAGTTGCTATGTCAATAATTAAAAAGTAATCAACGAGATTAAATTTCCGAGATTTTTATTTTTTTAAATCTGATAAATCATTTTACGTGAATTAACTGTTGGTTATATGGAAAAAAAATAAAATCGAATCAGTTTTTAAACTTTATACACATATTTTTTTCGGATGACTTTTGTTTCTTGAATATACCTACATTAAATGCACACGAGAATATTAATTAGATTGAAGTGCATTATTTCTTCATCGTTACATCAAATACGAAAAGGATTCTATTTGTATAGCCCCTCCTTTAAAAACATTACATTAGGTATTGTCAATAACTCACAATCGACTTAATGCATATTTTTACTCTTCGTGTGGATAAATAAAAGTCCTAATAACCTAAACAGACATTAATGTTCTTTTTTTTTTATTATTATTCGAAAATAAATTATAAATTTGCGTTGAGTATACAGTATATATATATATAAAATTGAAGTAAATAAATAAAAAAAAATTATATTGATCATGGGTAGGTCATTGCAGTTATTTACAAGGTAGGTTATATCTACAGAGTAATTTAGTTTGTTTAGTATACTATACGCAACGATTAACTATTGCAAACGAAAACAAGTCTGAGCGGAGTATAGTATTATTGGTGTTTTCTCCTTGTTTTCAATGTAGCCCTACAGAAATCAACAAAAATCAAACATCAAAACAAGAACCTAAAGAGTGAACTAACTGTTATCGATAAATATGTCAAATAAATAGTATACCACAAGGCAGTAATTGATATGGCACTATAAAAAACCTAAGCATAAAAAAAAAAGTTGTTTTCAACAAAATATCATTAAGATTAATTTTTCAACAAAATTGTTTTAAATAACTAGATGAAAATTCGAACCTTTTTAGGTATGAGTGTTCGACAACAAAAATTCGGATCGTTTTTACTAATCGTAAAGGTCTTTTCAGAGGGGAAAAGGGGGAGGAAAATAACTTATTTGTAAAACAAAGAGCTCATTTTTTGTTTTGCTCAGAATGTAATATAGAATAGAAACGTATATCAACAAAAACACGTTAACTAAAGGAACGAAATAACTTTACTACAGTTTTAAATAATTTCCACACAAAACCACAGTAACGGGTAACATCGTCTTTTTTTTTTTTTTATCTTTTTTCAGACCTCGTATTTTTAAAATTATAACCATATCGTTTTATATGCGAAAGGGGGTTTTTTTTTTCATTGTAAACCTATATTTTTTCAATACACTCCAAGTATCTGTCGGAGAGCCTAGACGAGTGCACTACAAAAAAGAGAACATAAACGCTAATCTCTTCTGTACATCGACACGACGCACGCGAACGACATTAAATCGATACGGTCCTCGGAAAAATATTATAATGCATTTTAACTAAGAACCGCCGACACTGCTGCCACCGCCGCTGCCGTCATCGTCGCTTCCGTGCGGTCTATTAACAAATTTATTTCCGGTCCATAAAACGAGATTTCACGCATCCCCTGTTCCCGTGCTCGCTCCCATCTCTCATGCGGCCTGAAAACGGTGTCTATCAATCGTTCGGCGTCGACAACGGTTTCGGAATTTTTGGTTTTACTACAACATGCGCTTTTGTGTGTACGTGTGTGTGTTTTGCATGCGTGTGCGTGTGTGCGAGTATGTATGTGTGTGTGTGTGTGTGTGTGTGTGTATATTTGCGAACAACTTTTCTACCAGAAATCTTGATTCAATAAAAAAACGACGAAAAGGTTTGTTTTTTTTCCGATATTTGAGATTTAATTGGTGCACTAAGGCAGTAATTTTTTTGATTTTCCTCGCAGTTGTTAAAATAATTGAAAAAAACCTCGGACAACCGTATAGGATAACGAACAAGATTACTTCGATATAACGATTTGATTATTTAAATGTTTTTGATCAGTTGTTAACCAAAAATTGTCTTCCGAATTGCGTGCATTTATATAAGAAAATGTCTAATTGATGAGTAAATAGGTCGTTTTTTGATTTTCTTTTAAATTTTCTAAATAATTCGAAAAAACAGAAAGTTTGCGGCATTAACGGTTTCGTTATTTTCAATTTTGTTTTTATTATTGTTATTTGGTTGAATATAACTATAAAGACCAAATACTTTCACATTATATTAGCCTTTTTACTTTTTTTTAGACAAGATGATAAAATGTTAAAAACATTTTAAATTTTTTTTTTTAGTTTTTATTTTATCTTATGTGATTAAAATTGTTTTGACTGAGCGGAAATATTTGACAATCGTACACGATGTTCATTATAAATTTTACTTATAGTGCTAAATATAGTTGAGCGAAATATAGAATTTTTTTTATAAATATATTTAAAGTTTTCTGTCTCATATAATCTTGTCATCAAATTCGAAGCAATGACAGGATGATGTTCTCGAACCGATCATCTAAATTCTCTTTGGGTTTTTCGTTTTCCGATGCAATCCGTGGGCTCGAGATTCGTTTACTGTGACGAATCCAAAAAATAAAAACCTTACAAGTACGGATGACTAATGCAATTTATATTTTCCGTGCGATGTTTTGTCTTCACCTGGATTTTTTTCTTTAACAAAACGTTCAAGTACAAAAAAAAAAAAAAAAATGAAAAATATCTTCTTTGAAATCCCAAAAATCGATTATTTTACAATCGTACCATTACATTATATTAATATATCGCCGATAACGTAGTAAGAGGATTACAAATCCCGAGCACTTTGTCTATTATTAGTATTTAGTGTAGTGTATTTATTATAAAACGTCGATCGAAGAAAAAAATACGTCAGGCAGCGAGGATATTATTACTATCATCATTATTATGTACTACCGGACGCCGCGATAAGCTACTCGACAAATGATTCCATTGGCTTAATATTCCACTAATATTAACAATACTCGATTATTGAACGGAAATTTTCGATAAAATATTTTCCTAACCGAATCTCTCTCTGCCAATATATATATATATATATATAATGTATACCACTCACTAATCTGTATCAGAACAGAAAAAAGTGACATCCAGATGAGTCCGTGCTGTCCGTTTTACATCGCACGATAAATTACGAGCTATAGAATTGATTATATTTTGAATTATAAAATGGTTAGATATTATTAGATATTACTTGTCTTGTGTGCGCATTTATATTCTAAGAGAAGTGAGGAACGTATCGGTTTTATAATGCATTTTCATTCATGCGTGTGAACGACTTTTTTTTACCAGAAATCTTGCTCTAAACAAAAACCGTCAAAGAGGTTTATTTTCGTATAGAATTTTTGATCTTTTTGGTACGTTGAGGATATCATTTTTAGATTTTCTTTGTAGTTTTCTTAACAGGTAAACGGGAAAACATGTTAATTGACGTGGGTAATTTTTGTTGATTCTTAGGGTATACCTTGGTAAAAAGGAAAAAAATACGATACTATTAATAATACTCTGCTGGGAATTGTTTTTTTTTTTTCTTATCAATAGCTTAACATCGTGTACTGATATCAATTAAATTATTATGTATATATATGTGTGTATCTTACCTTCAAACTTCCCTTATAATTTCCCTAATTTACGTTTGCCGTTGAACGATTCACATTTTTACCCAATTAACGGTTTGATACTAACAAATATTATCCTGGGAAAAATTATTTTCCATGTAAAATCTTTATTATATATGTACCCCAGATGTATAAAACAATCCTATTCGAAAATCTGTAGCTTTGCAGACAATATTATTATATCATGTGGGCAAATCATAACGTATTCATTAATCCATGTGTAATGGTTGTTTATGCTACGAATTGTATGATAATATAGATAAAAATCAATCGAAAATTGTTTATTCTATTAAATCACGTAATTCATAGTATATATCTAAACAGATAATGCGTGGTTTAATCAATAAAATTCACATTTTTAGGCGGCCAATGTAGCCGCTGATTCTAGGCCTCTAATGGGATTCTATTGTGTAAAGTCAGCTATCAATTAGTTTTTTTTTTTTTTTTTATAATATTCATACATATAAAGTTACATACGTAAACCGATTGTACATTTTTACGGTTTTTGGTCTGCGTAATTTCGATAAAACAGCAAGGTACGATAAGATATTTTTTTAATTGTAATGCATCACATGCTCGCGTCTCACTTTAAAATTAAAACATTTTAATAAAAAAAAAATAAACTTATGTCTAAATACAAAAAATAATAAAAATGTGCTTATCTTTATGTTTAACAATTAACGAAATTGGGTCCATATGCCGAACGAAAACTTGATATTATCTAATTTCCAACGTTAGCCGTAACATTTGTGTGACATTATTATAACGACAAAAATAACGATTCTGACCGTAAATTCGCACGGACCGGGTTTCTCGATATCAATCGTCATCGTCACTCATAGGCCCGAATGACAATCACACCAAACACATAATAACATAATCATAATAATAAAATTAATAATCAGAAATTTCCATCCGAATTATTAATATCGTTCCATTACGAAAATAATAATTGTGTTGACACGGCGTGATTATTTTTTGTTTTTTTTTTTTTTGCGTCCCTCTTGTGTATACCCGCGCACATTTCCATCCTCTCCGCGTTATATCATAATTAATCGTAATAATAATATTATAATATTCTCTAATTTTCTTTTTTCTTTTCGCGCAATATAAACGCGATGGAAGGAAAAAAATGTCATTATTTTTTTTTAATTAATTTTTGGACTCGAAGAGTTATGTTTGTGGTTCCTCGGAGATTTAAATAAATCCGCACAACAAACACCGAGCAAAGGTGAAATTTCTCATATTTTTTTTCATATAAGATAGTCATTTTTTTTCTTTTTTTTTAACACGAGCTGATTTTTATATTTAATATCAATTAAAAATAATATATTAACGAAAATATTTGCGTTTTTTTTTCCTTTTTTTTTTAACAAGTGTTGATTTTTATATTTACTATCAATTAAAAAATTTAAAAAATTGTGTCATATGCTCACGAAGAGGGCAAAAAAAAAATTAATTTTATCGATCAAAATTACTAATTAAAAATGGTACTGTTTATATTATTGATATGACATCAATGAACGATATCAAATATTATTTTAGCGTGACCCGAAAACGAATTCAAAAGTGTTCATTTAAATGGCATGCAAAAGAAAAAAGGTTTACACAATAATATCTACGTAGTGTAACGAAACAATAAGTTATAACATCCAGAATTTAAGTCCGGAAAGTCAAGTCTGACGGTTGTGCTCGATTTCGATCGAAAAATACAAAAAACGTTTAGCGTCACCATACGCGTGCGGTATAAAATATTCGTTTAGATTACGTACCGTTTTGTCTGTAAACGGATTTTTGTGTTTGTAATAAATTTGACGTTTTTTTTTTTTTTTTTTTTTTTTTTTTTTTTATTATTAATTTTTTCTCTGTTGTGTTTTGCAGGTGCTGTGGGAGATGGTGGTGAATCGGCCGAAGACAAGGAGAAAAACGCTGAAGCGGAACGTGAACGGTTGGAGGCTATCCGGGAGGCCGAGGAGAGACGCAAAGAGAAACACCGCAAGATGGAGGAAGAACGGGAGAAAATGAGACAAGAAATCCGAGATAAGGTAAAATAATAACAATATGTATAATGATGTTAAACTTTAGTAGAGGAGAGATATTTCGGGGAGGGGGCGACAGCGTTCGTTGGGTATGATGTAGAACGTAATAATATGGGATAGTAAAACTCTCTACCCTCGGCGGCAGCGGTGGCGACCGAAATTTCGGAATATCTACAGCAACCGTTATGATGTATACACTACACGTTATATTATAATATTGTTTTGGCCGGACGACAACAATATATAATATATTGTTGGTATTATATATGATACCCGACCCCGGCGATAAACGATATTTCAGAGGTGAAAGGGGACGCATACGGTCTCCCTTTGTTTGTTATGTACCGCGGTTCAGACGAAATCTCCTCGGATTTCGGGGTAAAATCGAGCTTGAGGCCATGATAACCCGATTCAATATTCCAACCGAAAAGGCTAAATTTTAGGCGACCACGTGGGTACTTGTATATAGTTATAGATTCCGAACGGTCAGTGTTTAAAATTACTTGCGGATGGTAGATTATCCGGAAAATGTGTTTTCTTCTAAACATTTTTCTATTCGATAATAACATTGTATCTTGTAACATTGTAACATTGTGCTCAGAAACAAGGCCTTTCCAAAAAAATAAAGCTGAGTGTTTTCGAAGACAAAATTCGCGAACTATTGAATGGAGGGTAATAGATACAATCGAAAACTCTTGCCGAAGCTTTTTCAACCTCATCACAATAGAAATGTTAGTAGGAAATGAAATGGTTAGGGTATGCGTGACGGAATTTAGGGTTCGATAATAAGGGCTGTAATCGAAAACAATCTAACAGGAAACCGACTTACTAAGAAGACCTTGACGAGAGGATTTAGTTGTCAGGGATTTAGAAGCGGTAGAACAATGTAGAGAGGTAATGAAGGACGGAAATATATAGAGAAGTATTTGCTCGAAGGGCTGTTCTTAAAGGAAGCGTAGTGCAATCCAGCTTTCCCGGAGAACATGTGGAGAGGCTGTAATAGAGATAATATTTGACGTATATATGTATATAGGGTAGAAAATCATGCTCTCCTTTTTAAAAAAAGGCCCGAAGGTTCGGAATTGGCCTTAAGTTTCGTATTTTAAACCGGAAGATTGTCTCCTGGATTTTATATTTTAATATAGTATAGACAGTAGTCATAAACGCTAATTATTGGTTATTTCGAACGATTTTTTGTACACAAAAAAATATAATTGCCTCGTCAACCTGCGAACTACAAAAGAATAATGTTATTTTAAGACGACGAATGGTTTTTATTTTTCGCGGGTTACTCAAAAAAATCCGTTAATTTCTATTACCTACTTATATATCGGATATTGAACGCAGATTGTAGATACTAATGCCAGTGGGTCATTATTCTGATTTGCCAAGAGTTTTCTGGAAAATAACGAAAACAAAGGAAATATTTATTACGACACGCACTCGATTTTCAAAGATTTCGGTTGTTTTCAAAATAAAATAATATCCTAGGCAATCCCGGATTTTTTTTTATCGGTCATTTATTATTCTTTACGATTATACGATTTTCAAAAAAAAAACCACGATTTGTAAGTAAACCGAGATTTGTTTTCGTCGAATTATGTTTAACAATCGAAAAAACTCGTATGAATACATATTGTGTATTATTATACACAATATGCTTTATTATAATATGTATAATATTATTATACATATTATTTGTTTGCAAAAAAAAAAAAAACATTTATTTTTACATAAATAATTGTTTTGCACGAAAAAAAAAAATATAAATCACCGTAAATTTTATAACAGTTCCTTTTTAACATAATAATTAATTTACAATATAAATAAACGTGTACCTACCATTCACGATATGTTTATCATTTCGTGATTTAAATTTAAAAAAAAAATAATAATAAAAAACTAATTTTAATCCACTAAAGGATTGTTGTGCGATGAACAGTCCGGGTAACTCATCGTTTTTATCTCTGTGCCATATTTTCTGACGATGCATACCAATTATATTATTATTACAACGTCGCTGCAAATATACATAATAATGTATGACAAAACAATTATACTTTGAAAAGTTTTAATTGCATTCGTCGTCGCAGTGTACTGTACCGAAGATTTCTATTATGCTTTATAACTATATACATATTATTATATTTAATAAGCGATTTTCATAACCGCCGTTATGTTTCGGGCTTTTTCAACAGCTCTTTTCCAGATCTTTTATTTATGTATATATGTATATAAGTAGTATGTGTGTGTGTGTGTGCTGGGGGGGGGGGGAATATAATTAAACATAATAACGTGCATAGAACTCAAAAAAGAAACGGGCTGATAGCAGAAACGGAGAGAGGGTGAGAGAGAGTTATCTATCATATTTCAAATGATTTAAATTTTTTCCGATTTGTTAAATATAATTTAAATCGATCAAAATGACATTTGTTTTTTCATTGACTATTAATTTTGCGGATTTAGTACTAGTTATACGAAAACTGACGTAAAAATAATACAAAACGAGCGCGAGCATTAATATAATATTAAACTTATTTACATTATTTTTAGTATATTTATAAGTATTTAATGCCGGTATTTGTATTTTGTCCAAGTATTATTATTTTAATCGTCAACGTCGAAGCGAACGAGCGGAGAAAGGAGAAAAAACCTGCGTACATTTTTTTTTCTGGCACCACCCACCGTCGTGTTTCACACCCTCGTTCCTCCTCCTGCCCCGTTGTCCCTTAATATTAATGGAAATTTAATAGCGCCCAAAAAATGTTTTACCACCGCGAAAAAATATCTGGTTACTGCGAAAATTGTCTCGTCGAGTTTGCTTTTATGTATACGTTTAAAACGTTTTTTTTATTTTATACGAACATAACATTAAAATGGAAAAAAAAGCTACCATATTTCGTGGCGAATAATAATAACACAATAATATACTCGACGCTCCGACAACGTGAATAAACGTCAAAATCCAGGAAAAAAATATCGCAAATTGCGTTACGTTTTTACACGTCTTCGCACAGCAAATGGGTGCGCGGGAGATATCGAAACACGGTATATCCGCAGAAAATTATCGTTACACGAGTTCCGACCGGGGTGATTAAGAGTCCTATATAATCGTTTACGACGAAATATTTTGTTTTTTTTTTTTTAGATTCTGGGTGGAACGAAGAATGTATGTTTTTTTTTTTTGAACAATTTTTCTACTTGCATTTTTTCTCTAAAAAAAAATCTGACTGTGTATGTACTTTAAGGAAGTAATTTTTTGCTCTGAATTCAATAACCCTATAACATTTAAACAATTATATATATTTCTCATTCATGTACAACACGAATATGCCCCAATAATCTGGGAAAATAATAGTGTTGGACGACATAGTAATGAAATTGAAGGCATCCAAAACAAAGTTATCCGGTTTATTTGCTTCGAGTGTAAAATACCAAGGATCCCCCACTCTGGCTATGCTGAAATTCTAAATTGTTTATATTTGCAATCGTTGAAAGTAAAGGGACAAAATTCGTACGTTTCATTTATTAATAAACTACTAAATAATCATATCGACGACGACTCTTTTCCTCATTAATTTTAATCTAAACCCACAAAATTATATGCGTAATCAAGATTTATTTTATATTCTTTTTCAAAGTAAAAATCACTCATTTCATTCTTCTAATACTGTTTTAATATCTACGGAAATAAATTAGTGATAATAATATTTTATTTATTCAAATGTTTTACGTGTAAATCCTTTATATTGTATAATGATGTATTTAAGTTTTGTTATTACTTGCTATTCTTATTCACCGTATTAATAATGTTTTTGTTAATCAGACATTTGTTCGTAAATATATGTATTATTATTAGTCTGATAACACGTAGACATGATGGTCTTTTGTAATCGCACGTCTTATTGCCGTCATTAAGGATCCCTGAGCTCAATCCGTGCGTTTGCTCAAAAACACACTTTACACGTGAAAAATTATCGTGCCTCATCCATACAGTAAACCGATTTCGATTATGGCTATTTTTTTTTTTCTGATAATCCACCGACGTCCACCAAAATATTTTGAAATTTCAAATTCTCCACACTATATATACACGCGTAATAATAGTGCCGTCGCGGTCGTAACACAAAAACGAAAGAAAACAAAACTCGCCGAACGACGACTAGTAGATAGGAAATAAACGAAAACGCTGTCGTCGCGGCACGCGTGACAAGACCGGACGTGCGACAAATACGATACGAATCGCGGTAGACAGTCCGACTGAATGCGGAGAAATCCGCCTCTGGTTTCCGTTTCGATGACAACCGTGTCCGGGTAAAAAACGACCGTTGTAGAACCGCTTACCGGGTGTGCCGGCGGGGAGTCGATAACAACCATTTCTACCGCGTTGTCATTTCCGCAATGTACCGACGAACTATCGATATTCGTTCACTATACGGGTAAATGTCGTTTTTTTTCGCCAATAAATTTCATATAGGTACCTACGCTATAATAGTTACTGCCAAATTTAAACCGCAGGACGGAAATCGTTTCACGGCGGCACACAAATCAAAAATCGAATTTCAGTAGAAAGTTAAATGGCTGCAGTATATATATACGATAATGACATTATGTGAAAAGCAACCAACCCACAAAGGTACTATGATATAGTAATATTTGGATATAATTGAAGTTTTATAAAATTGTATTTTTTTTTTTTTATATTTATAGTTTGCTAAATTATAATGTAAAATGGTAATAATCTTTTTTGAATATATAGAAATCTATCAAGTCACTTGGATTGATGTGTGATAGAGCCACTTTTTTATATTTTCAAAACCATTACAAAACCATGTATCATGGATGTATTGTACAATTATGGATATTAGATAAATCATTCAGTTAGATTTTCGAACATTGATAAATAAAGTTACACTTCAACATCGGTTTGGTTATTTTTAGCAAAATGTGTAATTTGACATTGTCTACCTAGTTAAACAAAAATCTAGATTTACAAATTTTGTGCGTTGGTTGCTTTCTGCATACATTGTATTATGTATGCCTGTTTCCCGTAATCGTATCGAATTAAGACTGCTTTAACCTTTAATTCAAATATCGGTACGATAGAATTGTTCATAATTTCTAAAATAATTGTTTGTCCGTATTTAGGCAGCTACTACCTCTTAAAACCCTATAGTGGATTCCACTGGTGTGTTTGACTTTTATCTGCACAGCGGTACACAATGATAAAATCAAGCCAATCTTGCGGTTTAAATTCGAGCCATAAAATTTATAAACGCTAACATTCGATTACTCGAAAAAAAATACAAATATTCGTTACCTTTTGACAGTAACATATAATTTTACTTAATAAATGAACAATAATTTAAATTTAAAGTCGAATTGTTTTATTATTAAAAGTAAAAATATAATAAATGAAAACAATGATTTTATTGATTAAAACTATATAGTTCAAAGGAAGGATGGAGGGGTGGGGTTTAAATAATATTCAATTAAAAGCTAATAAAAATAAATTTAAGTTAAAATTAAAAATAAATATTTACTCAGCCCGGTTAAAAAAGTTAATTAAAAACCCTATTAAATTGTACATACAATATACAAGTTTGAATTAAAAAAAAAAAAAAGAATAGAGACTCAATCATTCGAATCTTCGACCCATTCGCTTTACTTAAGTTTTAAATTTTAAGTTTCGAACACCTAAAAAAATAAATAAGATGTTTGAAAATTCTCTGAATTAACCACGTTGTATTTATTTAGTGCACGCTAAATTGTACATCGATATATCAAATTAAAACGAAATAACCCTATTAAACAATTAGTCAAAAAATCTATCGATAATTTAAAAATCATCCGTAAAACAGCAGTATTCCCTCCCCTTATAGAGTTTAAAAAATTATATAAATTGCGTGAAACCGAAGAGAAATGTATAAACCCGTTCTCGAATTTATTTTAAAGAAAGTATCGTTATCGCTTTTCGTGCAATTTTGGATTTCGGTCGGTTTTTTTTTCAGTCACCCTCCTGCTGTCGCGAAATTTTGGCTACGCCACTGTGTGAAACTAAAAGACCTATAATATATTATTTAAACGCATAATATAAACGATACTGTTGTAAAATTACGTCTCGACGCGTGCGACATGGCCAGATGCCAATATTATCCGAATACGGAACCGTTTTACATTTTGGCGAGTCGCTAGGGATATCGTCCAATGTAGAATATAAATTATTAACGCCAAAACGTATTATAATAATAGTATTATACTATTATCCCATACCGTAATGCCACCGACGATATTTCGTTATCTCGCGGCTATATTTGCTTTTCCGTTGTATTTGATAGATACGCTTTTCTGTGGGAAGAGGGTGGAGAGAAATCGTATAAACCGAGTTTTCGTCGGCATATATATTCACAGCCCCAGCTTATTACCGGGAACAACCTAATCGAATAACCTAACGAGAGATATGCGTACGTACTTATTACATTCTTCTTCAAAAGTGCATCAGTCGTCGACCAGCAGAAATTCGCATAATTGAATTTGTGCGGCCGGGCACAACGGCGGCGCTGCGTACTACCCCGTTTCGAAGTGAAATAAAATTTTTCTAAAGTTTAGCTAAACGATAATAATATGTTTTTTTTTTTTTTTATAATTAAATTTTGAACGCTATGAATCTATCTATCTATCTATATATATATATATATATACATAATTTAACGAATCTATCCGAACCCGTATGTGCGGATTTTGGTAGGTACGCCATCGGTATAGGAACTTATAAATAAATTATGAACAACTTTTGTATATACCTACCGTTGAACGCATTTTAAACATAATAAAAATTAAAGGTTACGCACTAAACACGTTATAAATTTACATTTTTCGACTGTACACATAGGTATGGCACAGAACGTACTGCGTGTAAACCTTTTCGTAACAAATAATATTTAAAAAAAAAAAAAAACCAATTCAGTTTATTTCGATCGATAATACGAGAATCGGCTCGAAACTGTCTAATCAGGGAGATATTTAGGGGAATCTGGGGTGGCGTTGGTCCCGGGTGCTAAATTTCAAGGGGTTATCATTCAAACTGTGGTAAAATAGAAGTTTTTTTTTTTTTATAAACACCGTCCTCCAGTTTATACCCGCTCAGTAAGGCCTAAAGTAATGTGCTTTAGAATCTAAAGCGTACAGTACAAAACGTAAAGTGTGCAGTTTGAAATTCTAAAGTATTCTGAAAAAAAAATGCGTTGTCTTATGAGAGGGCGCTAAAATAACATTGCCCCAGAGCACTAAAAAAAAATTACTGCTTTACGTCACCGGATGAAATCGATAAATGAGAATTTGCGACTGACAGAGAAATTACAGTCGAGGTCGTAATAAAATCCTAATTCGTACATTGAAGTCGAGCGGTGCCGAATCGTATACAACGTTTATGTGTCGTGGGCGCCGTATTGTAATAATATACACTTAAGGTGTATACGCGGAGGCCATGAGGAAATTTCTGAGTTTTACTGCGAGTATCGCTTACAATTTCGTTTGCGGTATTGAGTATATTTTATTTCGTTATGAAAAAAAAAAAGTGTTAAATATTTGGCAGCCATGTATATTTTGAAGGTGGAGACATTGTTCGTAAGTATCCACTGCGTTTTGACTCACCCGCCCATTGAAAAAAAAAATCTCCACGAGTAGACAGACCAGTAAACCATTCTCTTGACTTTTTGTTATTCTATAACCTATTCACTTATACATCTTCTTGCCAGCGAGAGTATTTCCTAAAGAAAATATAATATTTTATTACAAAATCTACTGATTCGATACTTTATCATATCGACATGGCCTTCAAGGACAAATAATGTATGATGTTCATTTTTTTTTTTTTTTTTAAATCGATTGTATACGTCCAATCAGGATAACTATAGGTTCTCTTAACGACTTTGCTATACATAAAGTATTCAAAATTATGATAGTTAAATGCTGATTATAATTATAATTATACCTTTACGTGATAATATTTGATATTTTATGAGCTGATTATATTTTTTAACACACAGAATGATCGAGACGAAACAAATTCTGGCACACTTTTGATGTTAATTTTTAGCGGACAAATGTAACATGTCTAAACATGCAATATTGACATAGGTAACGGAGAATTGTAATTTTGGACAATATTTGTAATAACTTAATTATTAAACAGTATATTCACTAAGATATCAACCATCATTTAATTATTGACACAATATATCCACTCAGAAATAAAAATAAATATATATAGTTCTGGTTAGGTTTAACACTCAAATTGTATTAAAATATTATTTTACGGTAAGTTTTACATCATGTTTAATTTACATATAAGTAAAAGAAAAAAAGAAAACTAAAAGTATTTAAAAAATATATGTGATATATGGTATATATATATCCTGTAAGCTATCGATATATTTTCTAGTGAACACTCAGTTATCTTATTCTACTGGTCGTACCGTTGGGCTTTATTGTGTTTCACACATTCGGCACAAAAAATCTTCTTAAAAAATCCAGTGTCTGACAGCAACGATTTAAACTATAGTAGTTTATGTATCAACATTTCGTTACATTTTTGTTTTATTTATTATCATTTCCAGTCGTTTCTCTGTCGTGTTTTTTTTTTGTAGCATGCTGTTTATTTGTGGAAGTTCAAATTTGTTTTTATGTCATATAATATATTCGTCTATCGTTCACCGAAATTATTCGTGAGCGCAATATTAACTACGTACAGTTCGACTATTTGAATAATAATAATAAGAGCAGTCAGCAATATGTCCAGTTGAGCATATTTATTTAAACTGAACACGATATTTGTTTACACTAACCGACGTTTCAGAACTCGCGTGTATAAATATATTATATATATGTATATATGGTCAACTCATATGGTACTACTAGTTATTTGTATTCGACGTTTGAAACACATACTGTTGAGTATCGTTTTTATTTATTTATTTTTTTTAATCAACATGACAAAAGAAAGTTTTATTTAATTGGTGCACTGAGCGGTTGTTTCTTTTTTTTTATTATTAATATTCTTTCCTTGAAGATTTTTTAAAAATCGAGAAAACCATCGGAAAAATTTAAAAGCTTACGGAAATAACAGTTTCAGTATTTTAAATTTTGTCTTTTGTTGTAATATAGTAACATATTTCTGAAATAGACTTATTGATATTTTCACAGAATTCTTATACATATTATAACCTTTGACGTAGTCAAATTTTCAAATCATTCTTTTGACTTTTGAGTTATTCATTTTTTTTCGAGTTTCTTTGACTTTTATTTAGTTGTATGTGGATAAAATTATTTTAGTTAAGTAGAAATATTTGTAAAACGTTCTTCATAAGTTGTACATAGTAGTAAAAAAATAAAATTAAACGCAACGTATAGTATTTTATTTTATATATACGTGGTTAAAGAACACATTTTAATCGTAAATTTTAGGCATTGAAAATCACGTAGAACTGAGCTTCGCTCAGAATCCTATTTAGTATTTTCAATGATTTCTCGAGTTATGATGAATTATATGCATTATTTTTCCAAACTTTCCACCTATATAAGTGTGGCCAATACATCAGTAGTACTATCTCTTTTTTAAGGATTTTTTAAATATTAACGATCTATATCTGAAATTAAATAATATTCTAATTGACGGTTTTGTATTCTTTTTTTTTAATTTTGTTTATCGAATTTAAGTCGCCTCAAAACAAAATCAATACTGTATTGTTAAAATCACTGGGTATAGGGTAACGATAATATTTTAAAAAATATGTACGGTGTAAATTGAATATAAAAAAGCTACCGGGACATTATAATATATCAAGGTAATAAATCGACTTACGCATAAATCTTGCAGAACGAATTGATCCCGCATTATATTATTTTAAAACAAATGATACAGGCATATAGCGTGAAAAATATACGCCATGCTTACAAAACAAATGTCACGTGATCGAAATAACGAAATATTACATCAACGATTGATGGTGATTTCGCGTCGAATCCGGTACAGTCGTATTTCATATATTCAGAGTTTTTCGTATATATATAAATATACAAACAAAAACAAAAAAAAAATGATCAACTACATCGATTTATTATAAACGAATCAAAAGTCATGCGTCCGTTCTAAGTTTATCGCTTTTGGAGATGCGGTAGAAAATGACAGTATTTATACGGCAGTTACGTGAAGCTGATACAAAAGTCGAAGAATATTCAATAATTACTTGTTATAATGTTTTCGGCAAAGTTAAACAAAATTATTCAATTTGGTTATAGCAAGTTCACGTGTCCAACACCTCACTTGGCTGTTTAGTTGAACAAGACAATCCACCCGATATTATTCACACGGGTTTTTTTGGGGTATTTTGTTTTATAGTTGGTTAGAAAATGTTGATAACAATTTTAATTTTTTTAAGGCTGGAATATTGGCGTCGTGTCACAACTAAATAGAGAAGTATAACGGTTATTATTTAACGACAGAAATTCAAGTAAAAGGTCACTGACTACCTGTATTTCAATCGTTTTGTAAAAAAAAAAATTAATCTACAAAGAATTTATTTAATTTTTTAAGACTTTTCGCCAACAATGCATTTCCATATAAATACGTAATAATCTATGGCGTTTAGATTTTTTTTTTAATCGTTTTGTTCGATTTATACACACTTAAATCACCACCGTCGGTGCATTTTGCCGATTAGAGATTACGATGAATAATATTATAAATTAGTGATGCAACGTCACGAATAATTCTAGGCCGGACTGGTATTCGTAATAATAATCGAACCGCATTAGAATATTTGACGTTTAGAATCGAACGGGGAGTATTGAATAATCGCATAAATTCGCTTCACTTAAACTCTGGTTGCAGCAGCTGGGTATAATATAAGATCGCGTTTCCGAGATAACAGTAATAGTGTTTTTGTTATTATGATAATATTATAACTCATTGACCCGAATCGCGTAAACAACGGTCGTTATAGTTATCGCCAGCAGTTATCGGCATTGAGTCATCTACGGGATTTATACAATTTGCGCAACGGTGGTGTACTGGTGTAGGTGCTGATCTGATACCAGGAAACTTTAACAGTGTCCATAAAATACGACTATTATGAGTATAATATAGTGACGAGAAGTATCTACGGGAAAACACTGGTATGTATCACTCAGGTGTCGTAGTGATTGTATTGCAGAATTATGTCAATGGTGGCGCTTTGATTGCTTGTCACAAATTTACAACACCGATAGCATATTATGATTTTCGAGGAAGTTAATGTCTTTAATGTAAACTTAAATCCTAATTGATGAACAACCATGGCAGGTTTAGATAAAACGGGAAAAAATTATCCTCATATATGGTCACCGAATTCTAATCAAACAGTTTATTTAGGTACCTATACCTACCTATCTGGCCAAGTGGAGGACTGCATTTTCGTATGTAATTCGTATCAAGTAGATGACGTTAATACGCGACCGGATATGCGATGACGTTTCGGAAGATTTTCGGTATAAAGGGATCGGAATTGATTATACTTGGCGACGGGATACGCTTTTGAGACGCTGCAAATGCAAAGTCTATGCCGCGGTTTCCGAAACCGTCAGGTTTCTACTTCATATATTATAATGTGTTATGGGCAGGAAATCCAATTACAGTGCCACCGTTTTACATGATATATCGGTATCAGTCGTAGGCGTTTGACAGATTTTAGCGAATGGTATCCACCCAATGTCGACGCGATCTCCGTACCAATTTCCTGTACATTATTATTACATTATCATCGTGGCGTAGAAACCGAAAAATAAACTGCTGTGCAGTGCGCATGTATAAATAAATCATTCGAGCCAATAGAAACGGTATCTATGCGATTCTAGTGATGTGTTAGTAAAACGGTCCTAATATTAATGAGACTTCATCATTTTATAAGAAAATTCAATTATTTTGATAGCTTATCGTGTATTTTATCAAGAATAAAATAATAAATAATATTTTATGATTTGAATTTAAAGATGGTGCTTTTAGTTCATAATTCATCGTTTGATTATATGTACTATGGTTGCTTTGTTCGTCGACCTATGCTAGAATTATCAAAAAATAGTCATCGAGTTAATTAATCTTCTAAATCGGCTGAATTATAGATTACTAACGCTTGTGCGAGTGTGTGAGTATATGTTGAATTAAGTAATTTTGCACATTTAATATAAAACTTATAAAATATTAGTATACATTTAGTGTAAGGACATATTAAATATATAGAATTTTTTAATTTTACATTCTCTTACATCGTCACACAAGTGCTAGCAGTCGAGAAATCAACAAAATTTGCAAGGGATTCAATTCAAATGTTAAAACTTAGTATGTTTAATTTTGATTTTATTCCAAGAGCAGTAGGTAAACTATACTTCATCGACTAACAAATTATGTAAGCTATATAATATATGAGTACTAATGAGTTGCAAATAAGTTGTTACTTCACGACCGCCGTGAACATTAATATTTCATAATATCGAAATTATTATAGACTTTGTATAATATGTACACACTATTATACTTAATCCCGGGTTATAATATTTCAGTTATGCGCCGTCAGAGATAATAAAGCCTGTTAAGTATAATCGAAGTATGAGTTTGCATCGTTGTCGTCGATCAAATGGCCAAACCCGACCCGATATTATTGTTATCATGCTCAAACGATTTATTAAAATAAACATTGAGAAAGATAAAATAGATCAATAAAATCGCAGGCTTATGCTTATAGACCACGTGTTTTTTAAATAGAGTATTGAATATTTGAATATAATACCATATTCCATAGTACCATATTCCAAGTTCCAACTCCAAATGCTATAGCAGAAATTTGTCAGATTTCTCAGGTTCTGAAAAAATACCCCATTTTCAACATGATAACGCTTTTGTTGCTAATCGGCTAATCGACTAATTTCTTCGCTGTGCGACCGTAGGCACATTATGTACCTAAAATTTGTTGTCGGGGTATTATCTAGTACTAATTTTCGGTCTATCTTACCTTTATTTTTATTTCAAAGTTCCCATTCACGTATAACCACTCGTTCAGTCGATTTTTTCATTCCATTATACTTTACCAAGTATATTCGAATGAGTTAATTTGCAGGTTAATAAAATCAACCAATTAAAAAACCTTTTTTAACTACGATATAAATCTATCGCATGTGCATGTTTTTAAATTAAATTTTACTGGGTAATTATTTTTGTAATAAACATAATAAATTCAATTTGTATCACATTTCTTATCGAGGACTATGGTGAGTAGTATATTTATTTATTTATTTATAAACGAATAATATACAGAATAAATACAATAATAGTATATACAATTGTGTTTATAATCTCATTGAAAAAGTCAACCACATGAGTCTATGGCTCACGTCGTTGTTATAAACCGAAATGTTCATATTCATCATAGCATTCTGCTAACGATCAAAAATAATTTTGATACGTTTGAATACATAATGGTTAGTTGAAAATATGTACGTTTTGAGTGACTCCTAAACTTTAATTCGTAACCTTTGGCCGGCAACGGCCAACATTTTTTAGTTAGCCGTTGGCCAGTGAAGAGAGACTATTCGTGATCGCAATATACTTTGTGTACGTTGACTTTTTCTATTAATTTACTTTTTTTTCTCTTTATACACCCTTAGGTATATACTATATAACTGATATTCCTTGTTTTCTATTGTATACACATATGCCGTCACCTCGACAATCTCCTCTCCACCCGTTTAAAGATTAAAAAACCTATATATCCGTCAACTTGGTCGTATTCCCCACTACTCGTCGTATATTATACATGAATATCACGTAGTATAATAGTATGGTACCTATATATTTTAACGTAATGTAAAAACATATATTTTTTTTTTAACATTCCGTAACGCAAAAATTTAAATTGTATTTTTATACTCCCGCGGTTTTTTGTTATAAATTATCGTTTACGTAAATTCGATAAAACCCCTTCCTCCAGTATCTTATTGTTTGAATATACACACAAATAATACTTAACCAAAAATACAGCTAGAATAATATAATGCGCTACGATTGCGGGTCGTTGGAAAATCGTATTATCCGCGAGAGTCGATAGCGAATATTTTTGTTTGCGAAATGGACTTTCAATTTCGTATACACAGACGTGTTTTATATTATTATTGTTATTATTTGTTTTCACGAACGATCCCAAATAAGTGTATATACGATCGTTTTAAATCGGAAAAAAACGTAATATTGTACGGACGGGGAGGGGAGTTGGGGAAACGCATGCGGTTGTCGTTCGATTACGGATAATCGAAATGTCGGTCGCGCAAGCAGTAAAATTGTTTTCGATTTCCAAAGGAATTGCATAAAAAAAAAAAATAATAAATAAATATATAAATAAAAATTGAAAAGAAGAAGGGGAAAAAACAAAAATCCCAGGTGAGGAGGTGTGGGAAAAAAGGCGAACGTAATTGCGGTGGCCGTGTTTTCCGCGTTGTTATGTACCTACACATATATATTATGTAGGTATATAAATATATATCAAAGGATGTCGTATCCGTCTACATTATCGGTCGAGGAAAAATATCGAATTACTGGCATGGCGGTCCGAAGTCAATAATGAAGAAGAAAAATCACTGTGAACCGTAAAATACGCCAGTGGGTGTATATAATAATACACACACACACACACACACACACACACATGCCCTCGTCAGCCTTTCCGCAAGTGCATTTTATATATTTTATCAGTGCCATTTATCACGTTATTATTCCATGGGCTTTTAGCGGACGGATAAAATGCCGCCGTGCCTCTTCCTCGTCGTCGACTGCGCACAGTATCGTGCGAATCCGACAGATTAATTTACCTAAAAGGTTTTCCGTTTTACAATTTTTCTTCGAAATAGTACCTACGTATATATATTACAACACCGTAATATTATCCACGACCGTTCGATATAACAACGACAACGAGACGAGACGGAATCAAACTCGGCTGCTGCAACTCATTGCCTTGACGTAATAATATTACAAAATATAAAATATAAATGAAAAGGTCTGGAAAAAATAAGTGTTGCGCTTTTGACGACGGGAAACGAACCACGGATTCTATTTGCCGTATCGGAATTTAATTAGGAGCGCAAACATTTAAGATAGGTCACTTCACAACTACGAGGGGATTTACGGGAGAATAAAGTGTTGAACGTGTATATTATACGTCATATTATTAACACAGTTACCTCTTCTACTCGTACTATTTAATACTATTAATCATTGATAATACGATGGGTAGGTATACAATATGTAATACGAATCATAAAATATATGTTACCGATGTGAATTCTATACGAGATACAACCATGTCTATTCGCATTAGGAACTTGCGATGATTTCGGGCTATTCATTATTCTATTTTTCTATGACAGAGGAAATAGTTGGGTGTCCAAAAGATGACAAAAAAATTCAACTATAATACATGATCTCGCCGACGGAAATTAAAAACGCCAACGCTGAAATGTAAAACAAAAACTAAAACTTGATAAATGTATGGAATTTTCAATATAGGTCGCTTTTTGAACATCGAGAGTGCGTAGTAATGGTTTCTAAAAATAATAATGGTGAACGACTTCAGGAAAATATGCCTACCATTTAAACGTAATATATGGTTCCCAAACGATTATACATACATTTTTTTTTTTTTTTTTTGAATGATAATTATTTCGCGGACAAATTCTATTTAACACGAAATTAGAAAATTCGGTAGACCCCCCCACGTGATGTAGGTCCCGGGAATTTCGGTTATTATATTCTATACTACGCCGCGTCAGTGCGCGTTTTCGTACTTCATTATTATTATTATTATTATTATTATTATTATTATTATTGTTATTATCATCGACGAACGCTTTCGCCGGTGTTTCGTGAAGGGTGCAGCGAGTAGATGTATACGCAGTTCGGTCGCGTACATAAAGTTTGTCTCGAACTGTTTAACCTCCCAACTGGGGTATAATAGTATAATACCTCCCGTCTCCTCTACCGAATATACATATATACGAGTATATACCTATAAGGTTGCTCGTCGATATAATACCGGAACGCGCCCGCCTTAAATTATGTAAAGTTAATTTGACTCTTTCGCGAATTATAAACGTCTTGTGCACCCGAAGGGCTTTAGAGAGATCGCTTTTCTCGCAGACACGGTGTGCACAGCACATTAGCATAGTGTTTCCGAGACGGAAAGTCATCGTATCGATTAAAATAAGCGTTTTCATTATTTTCCGTGAATTGTCATGACCCAACGGCTGATTACTAACAAACAATAAAAATAAAACCCATTTTACACGTTTACGCGTCAGTGACATAGTCACTATCACATATCGTGCAAATACATTTACTAAAAAAAAAAAAGTTCTCTAATTTAAAACCGATCGATTTGGATAAAAAAGTTAAGAACGTGACATAAAATCTATAACAACCTATAAATAATATGAACAATAGTTAATAATACGACAAAAATGATATGAAATAAACAACTCAAAAAAAAAAAAAAATGTATAATAAAATGTACGTATAAAAAATTAATTATTATTATTATACAATTTTTAATAACTTAAGACTTTTATATCCAAGCACCGTAAACATATTTATTTGGTTAAAGTTTATCTGGGTAGATGTGTACAAAAGATACGACGCTATTATATTATGTGAATGAAAAAAAAATACACGATTTTAAACCAAAACAAATGTCTTATATATTATTTATTATATTGACTAGCTGAATTTTCCGGCATTTCCTTTCAAAAATAGAAATCAATAAAATTAGATAACAAAAACCGATTTTTTTTTTTTTTTTAATTTCATCTGTATCACACCAAAGTAACCTAGAAATCAACCAAAAAGTTGAGAGCCACATTCTGGGAGGTAAATATGGGGTCAAAAATTAAAAATCAAAGTTCCTTTTATTTTAAACTTTATTAAGATCGAAATAAAATTATAGATTTTAATAGCGGATAGACAGATATACAGACACTGTATCAGTTTCGTGTTTGATTATTTTTAGATTCCGAACGCATATATTGGTTTTACTGTGACGCGTAATTTATTAAAAATGGTTTTCTGTCTATAACAAATTTTCTGCCAAAAATATTGAATCCAGACAAAATACGACAAGAGAGCATTCAAATGAATGGCATTTCACAACATGTTAAGTCGAACTTATACACGTATTTAAATTAAATAACTTATCCTACCTTCTCAACTTTTTTCGTTTTTGCGCCGTGCCTAGATTACACTCGAGGTCGTATAATTTTGGCGTTCTCGGATGCAATAATTGATCACTACTTTGCAAAATATAGATAATAATGTTATACGCGTTGTTCTGGCGTTATATGTGTTTACGGCGACGTGTAGCTTCTCGTGGGATAACATTTTCGAAGGAAATATTATCACAAAGAATTTTGGGTATATACGACCAACAGTCAGTCAACACCACCGGAGGGAATCCTATAACGACGACGCCGCCGTCACCGGTGCGGTTCGTTGGGTTCTCGATTCGATTATTTGGCAGTACACCGCAATTTCCCGTTTCTGCAGCGTGGCATGAGATTAAATCCGCGGCGGCCGACGATGCGACAATAGGCGGGGAAACTAAAAATAAATACTCCAGACGAGTAAAGGAGTTTTTTTTATTTTATTTTTTGCACACCTCGTAAAAAGCGTCCTCTCGGATGTCGAAAAACAAGATGTAGATTGCGGGTCGCGTGCCCGAAATTGGACAGTTCGGAATAACCACCCTCGTGAGCTGCTTTAACGGTGTAGATGGTGGATTTACTGATATCCCCCCCCCCCAATCGTCAAAAATTAGCAAAGTGGACATTCACACTTGAAAGGTAGACTAATTTTTTCCACAATTTTTTTAACTATGGTCAAGTTTTGTTTAATTTTAAAAGTATCGGCAGATTTGCTTTTTGCAAAGATCCAGCAAGAACCATCGAGTATCGGGATAGAATTTTTAAATGTGTATAATACCATATTTTATGCTATACTCGAATATCGGCGTTTATTATTGTTGCTTTTTGGTCGCCTTACATGGGGTGAAAAAAACGAATTTAATATTTTATAGAAAGTCAACTTTGATATTATCGGGTGTATTTAATTTGATTGGTTAAGTAAGATTAGGTTTATAAGTCCAAAGCCGGACTGTAACTAGTAAACAATTTATAGTCAAGTTGTAATTAACTTTTGATCAATTTTAACTAAAATAGTTTAGAAGGAAAGCCGTATAAATAATCTAAGAAAATAATTTTATTATTTCTTATGATAAATAATTTTAACTTAACTTAGTTATTTTATTAAAATTATTTACAAATTCGTTGTAAAATAATCGTTTTCCTAAAAATGTATAGCTTATAATTTAATCGCTCAAATTCCTTTCGTTTTTAAAACTAACTTGTCTCAGTGTTTTTTTGATTTTTGTTATTTTTTTCATGAACTTAGACTCAAGTTTCAAAAAAAATTAACGGTTTATTTAACCCAGCTTTTACCGTGTCCGACATCCTGTAATGTAAAATCAAATAGATGTACGAACGGCGCTGAAATATTTTCGTGCGCTTCAGCGTATTTTCGCTAAACCATACAAAATTATTTATATACGTATATCCGTGCGAAATTTGTTATTTTTTTTTTTTCCAAATCGATTTATTTTTCGTCGATATCCTATTAAACCCGCCTACACATAACGCTGGACGATACAACTACCACGTGTGTACACAACACACCACCGGAAAAACCTTTCCGTCGGCTGATTATTCGTGCGGTGGAAATCGTCCGCGTACGTATGGAGACTCGAGAATCGTGGGCCCGTTACGCCTTACGAATCCGAAATGAGCGGGTGCGCGTTTCCGGATGCATACGATGTATACGAGCGATATTATATAGGGAGGAACGACGTGTATCGATCGACTTCCGAGTCGACACGTACCTTTGCTCGAAAAACACGTCCGTACGGGAATCCGGTACAGAAACGGCCGATTTTTCCGCTAAATTAAATGTCGGCCCCAACGGATGACGCGTCTTGCCGTGCTAGCTCGTCGGAGCGCACGCTAGTTTTTGATCATCGTAATCCATAGATGTTATTGTTTTATTTTAGATTCTGAGAGAAGGAATACGTGTAGGTTTTACAATAATGTTTATTTTTTTTTTTTATTTGTAAACAAATTGTATACAACTATATTGCCCAAAATTTACTATGATAGTACTTTTTTTGAAAGGAAATCTGACTGGGGTGGTCCTTAAAGAGGTGATTTTTAAATTTTCCCAATAAACAAAAAAAAAAAAACGTAGGAAAAACGGGAAAATAGATACAATATTAAACAAATATTATAAAATAAAATATATGATACATATGCAATTCTTTTACTATAACATAACGTATATATTGTTGAAAAGCAACACGATAAATCGAATTTTGTTCAGAATCGTTTTTTTCATAATCAATGGTTATTCGTTGCGTACAAACATCCATTAAATTCCCGTCTATATCTTACCTTTCCAACTTCCCATCTACAATAGTGACTGTACCCGTCCTCATTATCCTAGGACAGCTTTTCTTTTTACTATATAATAAAATTATCGTATATTTAAATTCCGGGACGTCGCGAACGACAATCCGGATCGATTCGGATTACGGTGACCAATCCAGATAAACGGAACGATTCGATTCCGTAGATAATTTAAATTAATCTTTACGATTTAAAAACGACATTGTTATGCGACCAGCCGTTTAATGGTGTAACGGTACGAAAATCATTTTGTATTTCTATCAATATTATTGCGTTCAATATTCGGAACGATGGTTGAATCCATCAATTCAAATATCAAATCGATCGAATATACGGATCCATTGAATAAATGTTTTTAATCACACTGTCTACCCGGCGTAAGTTCAGAGGTGGCGCATTTCAGATATTATATCACACCTGTTTATTATATTATAGTCTTTCGGTCAATATATTAAGCTGTGAAAACGACAATTTTATGGTCTTGTATAAACAAAACCCGAGAACCTTAGACATTTTGCTACCACTCCCCTCCGCCCTATCACGAGTCCAAGAGGAATTATTAACTTTACCGAACACGGTTTGCCTGACCCTCCTCCGTCGAAAAGTTCTGCCGCCGCCATTGCGGAACGTATCGTGGATGGATGGGAGAAGGAAAAGGGATCGATTTTCTTACCGAAATTCTCTCGTGTATGAAGGGGGAAAGTGTAAACCAAAAACACTCTGTTATACAGTTTGACCTGAAAGAAAAAAATAACGTCGCACGATTGCAAATATAATAACATACGTATAGTACAAAGTGTGCGAGTTTCGTCCGGAAACACAAAGTTCATAACGGTTGAGGTACATATGTTTTTGTACAAACTTTGCGGTTACTCGAGACTATCGTCATAGCCATTATGTGTACGGATCAAAGTTTGTTACTTTATCGTTTTACGACTTTTGTCTCGCCCGATGACGGTTATGTAGAGTAGATGGAGGAGGTGGGAAACTGAATCCATCTCAACAAATCATACTAAAATCAGTATAATGATAAAACGCAACCATGAGGTGATAATAGTGTCTTTACAAGAAAAATATACATAAATAATAAAACGGTAATATAAAAAGTGTACTAATATGGACCTTTTAAACTTCCCATATCTAAACAGGCTGTCCAATATCAGCCTAATTATTAATTACAGTACGAAGTGTACGACCTGGTTTCTTTGTTGTGCTATATTAATCTTAAAAAATTTCACCCCACGATATTTACTCCCCCCCCCTTCACTCTTGTAAAATTGTATTAAGTAAGCTAATATACCTCTACGGTAAAATATCCGGGTATGAAATTTCACTAGTGAATATTAACCCTCGGTAAAAGTTCACTAGAAAAACTCACTCAACCAGTGTGAGTGTAAAATGTAACTGGATAAATTTAACCGATATAGGGGAAAAATTTGACTAACCATTTTAGCAACCCGTCTAAAATATTTTACTTAGTAAGTACAATTTCACAATTGGCTCCCCTATAATAATATTTTACCAAGCGGGGCGAGTATTATCACGGGGGTCAATAATCAGTGGCGTACCGAAATGGTATAAAATGACAAATTCAAAAAGTCTTCGCTCGGTATTTTATTGGGTTTTATAGGAAAAAAGTATATACTGTTTGTATATTGTCACAGTGTAAATACAATGTTAATAATACCAAAAATAACACGACGAATATTTTACGGAATTCGCAAACATAACATTTAAAGTAGACTACATCACTAAAGTGGAATGAACCTATACATATGTATGTAGGATGTATAATTTTTTTTCCCCCAGAGGTAAAATAGTTGTTACAAGAAGCATGTATGCTCATATAAACTGCGTTAAAAATCTGAAAGATGTAGATTAAATTGTTTAGGTACTCCAGTCACTCTGACTTTTTTTTTTTACATATTGTATATTATTATACCGTTTACTTGTATTTTTTTTCTAACGAGTTTTTAAGATTTTTAATATTTTTAATGGAAAACTAATGTTAATAATTTAATCAAAGTAAATAACTGATGAAACTTGCTTTATTTTGTACATGATTTAAATTATTTTTAAGATCTAAAATAAATTGAAATAAAATCAATTACGTATATGTTTATTCGTATAAATCATTTGCAAATTTGAAAAATTAATTTATTCAGTTTACCGATTTGCCGATTTATTATAAAAAAAACTATAAATTAAATTTAACAAAATAATTATTCAACTGGCGAAATCTAGATTTCACATAACGATTGTGTGATTAATGCAATTTAACAATCGATTTATTAGTCCATATCCATATAAATTAAACAGATTATCTATTATTTCTAATTAATTTATAGACTAGAATTTCCAAACATTCATCTGGACAGTTCAATATTATGCCGTTACCGTTTATCTCTGATAACTATTTTTCCGATTATGATAAGATAAAAGGTGAAAATAAATCCAATATCCAGGATAAATATAACAACGCCGGCCGTAAGTCGGAACGGGAATAATATTCAATCGCGGCGGCGATCACGTGCGGGGGTCGTAACAGGCGGTGTAAGGGACGGGTGAAAATGGCGCAATGCCGATGGGAAATTGAGCCCCGTCGAGTCGTATACGTAATGCGGTACGAGTACGTGCCTATACAATACTGATACGTAATGGCGGGGAAGAACATCGTCGGCGTTCGTCCGTTCGGCGGGAGTTTACTTTTTGGATACGGTCCCCGGGCCGCACGGGAGCTGCCGCGTTCGACGTTTTTATAGTCCGCGCCACTGCTTACTCGCGAAAATGATTTACGAGTGCCGGCCGGGATGTACGGTCCATAGAGCAGTTACGCGCTCCCGCCCTACACCGCCCCATCACCGTTCAATAAATACACGCCCGATGATCGATAATTTATCCTTTGAAACAAAGGTTCCCAAAGCGGTCCGACTCCAAACTGCGAGGGATCCGTGTTAGAGATTAAAAAACAAAAAAAATTGAAGGGTATACGTGACGCGCTGTACGCATAGAGATCGAGGAGAGTAATTAAACTACACGTAGATATTTTACGGATATTGTTTGAAAATTGGATAATGTCAAATTTTCGTTGAGTAAATCCGATTTTGTCTCGTTCATTTTAATATTACAGTAAATCAGCCAATTGACAATCTTAAAGGCAAAAACATTGGCTGTGTTTGTACCTTTGGTATTTGTCTAGATGTTTCAATTTTTTAGGTAGAAATGATGATTTTTAAATTGTAATATTTCAAATAAAAAAAAATCTTCTTACATATAATGTAATGTCAATGATTTGAGCCAGAAATTGGATTTATTGAACGAAATGTTGACATTTTTATTTTAAAACTGCTCAATCCGCAGTAAATCTTGACCGAGTAGGTGGCTCTGTGTCAACTTGTTTGAAGTTCATATAAAATATAAGGAGGGAAATATTTGGCACGTGGTCTACTACGAGACAAACAATTTTGGAAATCTTTTTTTCAAAATGTTTTCCATATACAATGAGTTATAACTACGATTTTCGCGTTTTTCCAGTGGATAAATAGCTATATTTTTTCGCTCGACTGTCGGTATTGGGGATTCATTGTTGCAATTATTGAACATCGTTTTCGAGTTTTTAATTTTAAATACATTCAAAATTATTTTTATTTGTTAAGAGGATATGTTTCCGTATGAAATTCGTATGTAAAAAGTGTTTTGGGTGAGAAAAAACTACTCGGACTATAGATACACAAACTAATAAATCGATTTTTTCCCGTGAAATAAAAATAGAACTTGCATCGTACACTGTACACATAAACCAAAAGAAAGAAGAAACTGCAGGAATTGTATTTGACGGATTATGGTTCTTTGGATTATCTTTACTATGATAAATATTGGGATTCAATCATATCCTCTGATCGTAATAAAAATTTGATTGTATTTTTGAGAAATATTTTGCCTTGATAAACAGAATTGTTATTAAACAAATTATTCAAACGTATCCTGTACACACCTAAAAAACATAAATAATCATAACATGTTTTTTAAAATTTAAATCTAATCATAGGAAAACAAACCCTATTGTTTGTCTCAGGCTTTTTGATCTAATACGTCATATTTTCCGTTAAAATGGTTATACCCTTAAATGGGTACTAGGTAGTTAAAAAAATCGTTTCATTGAGAAAGTTATTAAAATGAAGAAAAGAAATTTTAAATTTTCCAATATTGCAAGAGAATATTTGGAATCCCTTTGCAATTGTTAGCAAATTATTATATACTGTTTTTTGGAGATTTCAATTTAAAATGTTCAAAATTATCTGTATCCATTAAGTAGGTAATTATTGATTCGGCACCTCGTACACGGTTTTTATACGTACATTTTTCTACGCATCCAATGTAGAAAGCCGTTGCAATTAACGAACGCGAAAAGCGAAACGATCAGAATAAACGCCGCGAAACACGTAGAGCGCAATCGTTATTGTCAGTTGTATGTAAATTGTTTTTTTTTTATTTTGGTCACTACTCTTATATATTATACTCCTGCAATTTCATCATCGAGAGAGCGCCACGAAACCGACATCACTGTGTATGCGGTAATCATGTAGTGCTTATGTGGTTCAAATTGACTCTAGTAGGGAGTCCTTATAATTAATGTGACTCCCTAATGGGGTCAGATTGAAACGCTGCAGCCCATCGTCGTTGTCAAGAACCACTGCTGCTGTCATCATCGCGGAGGATTTGTGCGGGGTTTTTTTTTTATTACAAACATCTTGCACGATTTTGTTTTTATAAATATTGTTAGTATTTTATGATAAGGTATTTATAAGGACATGTGTGACTAAATAAACAGACATATCAGCAAAATTATTTGTTTTTTCCTATCATTGAGGAAGTGCCTCAGCTTTGGAAGGATCACGGTACAATAACTAACTGTTCGATCCATCTTAGTCCGTGGTTCCGTGCACAATAACCGATTAAAAACCGATTTTACTTTTAATAATTTATATCCCCGTGGTTTTATCGTGTATTCTAAGTCTAGGACGTATATCATGTGTGCAGAATGATTTTGCTGACATGTTTGTTTAGTCACAATTATATGGGTGAATCGAGTCCCGAAAACGCAAATCAGCGAACTTTGGTCTGCATTAATAATCATGTAGGTCATATTTAACAACCGCTAAACTTTTCCCCATAGGTATAAGTAAAATCCGAACATTCGAATCTGAATCGTTTCAAAAAACTGTTTGATTACTTATCATTGACCAAAATGAATGGTTTCACAAACGGCGAACAATTTCGTTTTAAATATTTGAAAAAGTCACAAAATATATACTATACCAACATGTTTTATAAAAAAAATAAATAATGTTTAACTTTATAAAACAAAAACAAACGGTACCCGCACTAAAAAAACCAAAAAACAAAACATGCTTTACTCGTAAATATCCCGAAGAATAAAAATGCCTGAAAAGGATAAAATATTGTATAATATTACATTACTACGCGTCTTCCTATTATAACAATTATATTATTGTTTGAAAAATATTTATATATTTGTCTTTAAAAAAAAAATCCCGAATTTTATACGGTTTTCGTGAAATTATTATTCGCAAAAAACCGGTCGTGATTTGAATAGCATATATTTTTTTATTCGATATTCCCGGTTTTTCTATCGGATAACGCGTATAACAAATAAAAAATAGCTGATACAGTTTAAAGCGGAATGTTAGAGAAGTGCATTGAACTATTCAATGTATATGCAATCATTTATGAAGAAATACGATTCGAATTTCGAAAATGTTTTTAAATACCGTATTTTTTACGATTTTCGTCAAAATTTGAACTTGAACAGCAATTTAATTTGACTCGATTCGCCCATTAACCTATTACTGTAATATAAAAACAATTATTGTACCCGGTACTAATATATGACGTACCGTCTAATAATAATTCGTCGCACCGTATGTCATACCGCATGTGGTTACCGGTTACCCTTGGTTGCCGTCACTGTTCGATGACATTATCAATATAGTACTTAGGCGGCATAACGTACGTTAATGCGCGCAAACGTCACGAGGGGAGGGGGGAAGGGTCGGCGTAAAACGCTAACCGAATAATTTCCCGGGTTATTATCAATAATTGTACGACGAAACGAAATCAAAGTGTCGGTCGGCCTGTGAATAATTGAACGATTAAAATTGCCGCGCCGGGTCGCCTGTCAAATTAGTCGGCGCGTTTTTGATCGCCGCTCACGAATATTTAACGCGAGCGCGCTCTGCGCTGCTGTCTACACGGAATACCCATAATATAATATGCATGTATTATTTACATCAGTGACTGTTTTATTCGCGATCCGTTTCAATTAAATAACAATATCAATAATAACATTAGAGGTCGAACCATACGACGTGTGACTCTCCGCGGAAATATCATTACCGCGACCGCTAAATCCGTCGTAAACGTTTCGACTGCGGTCGCGGTTGGTCACGCACGAGACAAGCGCAATATTCCGGGAAAATAATCTCGTACCTTACCGACGATGTTCACCGTCGAAAAAACCAAAACGGCTTCCGGCTCCGTCACAGGGACGAGGGAATTTTCCGCCAGCCGACATTTGGCGGATCAGAGTTTAGGTAGGTTATCTCCAGATTCGGAATCAGGTGTACGCAACATGCATTGATGATTTAGCCTCCGATCATCTTTGTTTGTAACCCGTTATTTGACGGCAACGCGATAGGCGTCCGGGGCAGTGAGATTTAAACGATTTTAGGCGGTGTTTCCGACAAGAAATCCGAAACATTAAGGTTGGGGAAAGTAAGGAAGACGTTCAAGTACGGTTGGACTCCGCATGCGGACGGACGAAGGGACAATTTCGGTTTTAGCTTCAAGGTGTAATATTTTCGAATACACGGTGTTCGCGAATAAGACAATGAACCCTCGCTCCTCCGTTCCCATTAAAACGTTAAAAACGGCAATTCGATTGATTATCGCATAGTACGTGCTCTGTGAAAAACGATTTGAAAAGGCGCGAAAAATACCAGAAACCAAAAATTTACTGGTTTAAACTTTTTGAATTTACAGTGATAAACGGCTAAAAATTCGTGACGTTTGTGTGCAAACAATACGTATAATTACGTCAAAATATTATTATAATAAAAGTTTGTATATTTTTTTTTTTCACATAAACCCGCTCGATTCCTGTCGAATTTGGAACGGACGAAAGTCTTATAAACACAAAAATGTGTAATTTGTATATAATAAACTATTATGTTTATTTTTTTTTTTCTACGATTTTTATGTATTGTTATGTGTTGTAAAATATTATGTATGATTTTTCTGTAGCTTTTTTATACTGACGACGCGAACTCGGTTTATGTGTTTCGCGGTGAATTACACGATATACGTACGGCTTCGGAAATTACGATACGATTATAAATGACCATCGATTATATATTTAGATGTATATAATCGAATTATGAACATCCGATACATGTATATAGGTACACGATAATGCTATTATAATAATGCAAGGGGTATTTCGGCGTATTATATTTGCGCCGAGACGACGATGCGTTTATGTTATAATATTATTATGTTTGGCGTAACGACAAATCGGACCGCCAGAGAGCAGTGGCGTGTTAAACTGCGTTTGCTCGTTAAAAGAAATCGAGATTTTTATAAACTGACCGGGGGGGGGGAGGTCCTTTCTCATATACAGGTCTTTCCCTACTCCTGTTACCTGTTTTAACGTTGTGATTTATCAGGAGTTTTCTTATCGGTAATTATTCTTGTTCGGGTTTAGAACCGGTCTAATTATTTTCCTTGTACAAAAATAGAACTAGTTACACCATTAAACAAATATATCAGATGTCTTATACCCACTAATCTAAAACTAGACTGAGTCGCGATATCTGAGACCTGCACTGTTAGCATGCGCCACTGCGCCAGAGTTCGTATTTTTTTATTATTATAATATTGTACCTACGTACGCGCGTATACTTCAAAAATGTTATTTTTTTAATCCATCAATTTGTTGTGACTGTTGCCGATTGTGCTATTGCTGATTACTGATGAAATGTTACATTAACTCCAATTTAGTGTTATACCATTATCATTGACTATCGGCATATGATATCAAACATAATAATATTTTATTTGCAGTACCGGAATAGCGCTGGGTAATCCTAGGCACTCGCCCTCGACGTTATGGTCATAGGAAAATGCAAATTGTTGTCTAAAACAGAAAAAAAAATGTCTTGCGTGCCAGTGATTATGAACTATAGTGGTATATTTTACTTTCTCAGAAAAATATTAGAGGGTTCAATAATTACTAGTGGAATTTTACCATCAAATTTTTCCAGTGAAGTTTCACTTCCCCCGTTCAAATTTCTTTATTGAATATTTACCTCCGGGCGAGTAGAATCGCACACCCTGATAGTTAACGAAGGGATTCAATTTTCGACGTTAAACTGGCACTGATAATATTTTCCCAGATAGTTGCTGGAAAATATTATTATTTTCTTCATACAAAATAAATGTGCAATTTTTAACGCTATCGTTATAACGATGTTTTCTTCATAACACCACAATACTAGTAGAACCTTTTGATTGCATTGCGTAATTGTGCAAACATATTCAATAATAATTTTTACATTATGTTAGGGCGTCTATATATTATAAAACACAATGCGTAAAGATTATAGTCGTACTCGTATGTCGGGTATGCGTATCGATTGCAGCAAAACAACGACAACGTTAATTCCCGACAAACTCTATATTATAATACGCTAGATACATCGTTCGTAACAATGACGACGAGCAAAAAAAAATAAAAAAATTCTATAAAAAAAAAAAACTAGGAACGTGTCTGTTCGGGCGTGTTAATCGTACGTAATACGTACACGATTGTGCTGTACGTAATAATAGACCGAAAACGTTTTTGCCCCGTAAACCGCCTCGACATACGGTCGATTCGCCGCCGGTCAAGTTTCAAAGTTCTAGGTCGACGCGAGAGGTGCAAATATCAGGGGAGGGGGGGAGAGGGGGCGGGGCAAAAGTCACGGACGGCAAGTCAATCGTGAAACTGGAACACATCGAGAACAGACGTTCGCTCTCCAACCTACTCCCCCCAACCGCCCCACCCCCGCGGTGCGTAATATACGCCCAGAGACTCGTGTATATATTTAGCAGTGTTGATTTATCGTCTCGATAACATCGGATAGGAGGAGTAGGTATATATAAATATACACACGTCAAATTTTTGTTAACCACTGGGCGCCATCATTCACAGCGCAGAAAACTCCGGTCGGATAATATTGATGCGCTTTTCCGACCGTATATCTATATGTATATATTCAATACCGTACGCGTAAACTACACGATTTCCGACCCTCGGCCGTAAAAATATATATAAACAGTCTCTCTCTCTCTCTCTCTCTCTATCAACCCGCACGCGGTGTAATCGCGATTCCGGGGTGGGTACGTCGAATAATAATAATCGTTGGAAAAAACACACGCACACATAGGCGCGTGCGCGTGTCTAAGTGTGTAACGAACGAAAAAAAAATTTAAATAATTTTCCCATATTTTATCGGGAACGCGCGTAAAAATATTAATCGGCAGTTGTATATTATATGCAAATATTATAATTTAATAATATATCACATAGGTGGATTAATGTATCTAGGTGTTGTAGGCACGCTTCATAAACGGCTCCGATATAACGAAACGCGACGTTTTCATTAAACGTTTAATTCAATTCGGGTTTACGTGCGTAATATATGATAATATATTATTATGTTACGCGGCAGTGTTGACACATTATGTTCCTACGTAACGCGGTAGGGCGATATGATACCTTCGTCTAGTAAACGTTATCGGAATATTATTATCACGTCGTCGTCCGCGTCTTCCCGACCAAAGATTTTCGCAAAAAGTACAAATTTCATAAACGGGGTGGGAGGGGGTCGAAGACTCGGGAAAAAAAGTTTTCAGCTTTTCGGGTTTGCCGGCAAGGGGAACGAGTCGTGTTATAATATCGGAAATGGTCGTTCGAATTCATACGAATGCAGTTTTCAAACCGTGCACAATGATAACTCAAGTATATCGATAAGAAGGGAGGTGCTGGAAATATGACCTCATACAAACTACTTACAATATATTGCCCAGATAATTTGGAGAAATCGTTGGTTGGATGGCTGGGAACTTAGTCATTGTCATATTGATATAGTTAGTAATAGAAAACGATAATATTATGTTTAAAATAACAAATTAGAATATAAATGGTAACTAATATGTGTTTTAACACAGAACAGTATGATTAAATATAAGAGTAGTTTAACGGCATTTATTTTCATTTTTGTATTTGGTAATTTCCCAATGCATTCGATAATTAATATTTTGGATTCCAATCTGGAAGCCCAATTGAAATTTGTTTAATTTTTTTTTTTTTTGGAAGAAAATCGGGTCAAGGCATTTTTTAAAAAAGCTTTTAAGTCTATTAGATACCTAATGGAGTAAAATTTTGCTTACTGCGTGTCCACAAGAAAATAAAATGTAAACTATTGAATAAGTAAATTTGTAACAAAATAATATATTTTATGTACAAAACACTCTCGTTGGTTGAGAGAAAATAACTGAGGAAAGTCTAATAGTTTATCATCGTGAGATTTTGTCTGTCTGCTCGTGGAGCTTATTTTTAAGAAGGTGTGGAATTAGAGCCCTAAACTTCCGAACTATATACGCCAACAGTGGTTACAACGATAAGTTAAATGGATTAAAAATGCTGCACAAAATGTTTTCGGTGTTCTAACAGTATAATATACTCTAGCTCTAATATAACTGTTAAACCAAACATCATTTGACCAAATTAACGATGACCATATTTAATATGTGTTTGTGCAGAGTAATTTGTTTTTTTGAATTTCTTTTCATTATACAATTTTAAATCAAAAACAGGAAAGCAATTTTCAATAACACTGATAACACTATCTATAAAAAAATACGAAAGTTATAAGATTCGCTAGGCAATGATATCGTTTCACGATTGTATTAAGAATGTTAATATTTCAGGTGTTATATTTATGTAATTGATTTTTGGACATGCACGCAATTTTTGGTAAATACGTAGTCCCCGTCGAAGTTTTTCCTATTTCCTGCGGTAATAAACTTACATTTAAATTTCGGGACTTTGAAGATCCTTCGAAAAGCCGTTATCCCGACCGCACTACCCGTGTTTAAACCCCTGCATTTTCGTGAGAACCCGACGGCGATGACGCATGGTCAGACGAGAGAAATAAAATATTATTATTTTATGCATTACAGTATTACAGTATAATATTAAATTTAAACGGGCGAATATTGTAAGGAAACAAAAGGGAAAAATTATTTCGAGACGGGCGAATTGACAAGGATTTAATCTTTGACGACGATACGGTAGAGATGGACTTGTATAGGGGGGGGGGGTTGAATAATGAATGGAAAAATTATGTAAAAATAACGCGTCGGACCGAAAACGCGATGAGAAAGGAACCGAAGAAAGCACGTGTCTCGTCTCGTCTGCGGACTGTTTTTCTTTTTCTTTTTTTTTTTGGCGTGCCGAGTATTATTAAATAGTCGAACCGGCCGCCCAGCCGGAGGTCTGTTTTTTCTCTTCTTCTTTTTTTAATGATTAACAAACGAACGCGGATGATGATGTCCGTATAATTAGTTTTCCCATTAAGAACTATTTGGATGGTGCAAAAAAAAAAAATATATATATATATATAAAAAACACCCTGCAGTCTGTGCGCCACCGCCGCCGCCCTTCCCCTCCACGCCACTGTTGACGACCGTCTTATTCCAACGGCTGTACACAATATAATTAATTATTGATCGAACATCAAAAAACGTTTTCGGTAACGATGGTATAGCTAATTTTTTCGTTTTTCTCGCGCACAACAATATAATAATAATTTATCTTATTATCATAATAATAATTGTCGTCTTTTCGTTTTTTTTTCTGTTATTCGGTCGCGCAGTACAACATTAAGAAGAAGGAAGAACTACCGGAACCGGTACCAGAGGAACCAGCCAATCCGTTGATGCGCAAAAAGAAAACGCCCGAGGAACTGGCCAAAGAGGCTGAAATGGAAGAAGAGGATGAATTCACGAGTGAGTATATATATCCGATTTATTTTTAATTTTAACATCTTTTTTTGGTCTTTAAATATTTATTCTACCAGAAATCTTGCTTCGAACATCAAGTGTAATATTTTTTATGAATAATTCGGGAAAATTGTTGGACAAATAGAAAAAATTATGGCGATATTGGTTTCTGTTATTTTCAATTCAAATGTTTTGTTTTAATTTGGTTAGACAAAACCATAGAAACCAGAAGTGTACATAAAATACTTACATCACCTTTTTCTTGAAGTGGTCAAATTTTTAAAATATTCTGTCTATTTTTGAGATATTTATAACCATTTATAATTGTTTTTTTTTTTTTTTATTTTGATTTTATGTGAACACAATTGTTATAGAAATACTCTAGAAAAATTATGAAGATAGATAACAAAAAAAAAAGTTGAGCATTCGTGTGCACATTTTATGGGAACCGTATAATTCATAGCATATCAAAACATATGTTTAAACGAACTTCGCTCTTGAATCAACGACAAAAAGTCGCATTATAATTATATAATATTATAGACTTTTTTGTGTTTATTATACAGAAAAGAACAGGATCCAAACAATGTGTTTAAAGTTGGGTGAATGGTCTTTTTGGAGCGCAAACAATATTTGTGTCCAAGAAAATCGGTTTTTGGGTAAAAAAAAATGGAACGTGTAATACCGAAAAAAATCCCTAGTCAAAATACAGCGTTAAATTTGAGCCGAGGGAACAATTATATTATAAATACACGGTTGATTTAATATTATTGTTTTTCGTTCGGAAATGCCGGTTTTTTCGAAAGCGAATGGGTAAACATTTTTTTTTTTTAATATACGCGAACGACGCGTATAATATAAGAGAGGGGGTGAAACTGCAATAAAAACGGTAATAAAACCGCGAGGATTTTTCAATAACGTAAAACGCCGTTGTCTTTAGACGGGAAAAATACGGTTGACAATTTCTCTCTTTTAACCCCATCGCCCCAGCCGCCACCTCCTCTTCCCCGACACCGAACCGCGGTCTCGACTCGTAAATTATTTCGCCGCGTTTTTATTACCGTACGCCGCCGTGCTCTTGTTTTATTCATCTCCGTCTCCGTCCGTATATATAATGTTTAGAACACTGGTAATCGTTCGACCGTTCGGGAAGTACGAAAAAACAACGTTTTCCGCGATAGTTTATGCGGATTATAGAGTATAATATTATTGTCTGCGGGGGCCCCTCTCCTCTCTCGGTATATATATAAACACGCGACCGAGTGAGTGCACCGTTTTCGGAATATAAATAAAACATCAGAGCCGCCGGCGAAACACCGCGCGTTTTCCGGTGCCGCGCGCGTCCAGACGATTCGATAAATCACATCCGCGTTTAGGACGGCGGCCCGCGCCGCTAGAAAATTAAAATTCACAAACGGCGGCGGCAGCCTCGTCGAGTTAAAACCCGCTCGTACATTTTAATCTTGTTAAACGCCAGCCTTATTTTTCACTTAACAATGCCTTATAACGTGTTTATTTCGAATTATCGCGTGTTCCTGGCGTCGCCGATTACGTTGCAAACGCGCGCGGTACGTTTAAATCTTTTAAAAATGAAAGCTCGCCATGTCCCTCCTCCACAATTAATTCGAATACCGGACGGAATATCTGTATATGAAGTCCACTCACGGATTGTCGATATCGCGCTGTTAATAATATTCTCACGTGATAATATTACACCTCGGAGGCGAGTGGGCGATGGAGTGGTATAGTAGGAGGGGTGTTTAAAATAAAACGTGTTGACGACGCAAAAAGAGGGTCGAAAGTAATTTATTTTTCGAAAACGACGCATAATGAAAAATAATTTCCCTTTGGGGCGACAGGACCGGCGTTACCGAATAATAACCATTTCCGGGGAATATAAATGGCACTCGCTAAAGTATATTTATATATACACATAGAAGAGAGAGAAAGAGTGAGGAATTTAAAACCGATAAGAGCCGAGATAAGAAAGTTTCGGAATGGCGGAGATTACAGTCAAGTATTATCATTATTATTTTTTTTTTATTTTGGTGCCTTGCCGAAAACTTTCGGCCCGTCGTCGCAATCGTCGTAGTGTAGTATAAAAACCGACCGGGGGATTAAGTTATTATTACGATTATTATTATACCCAAAAACCGAATTTAATATTTTAATACTCACTCGAAAACGAATGCGGTAGTCGGTTTTATTTATCTATTCTTTTTTTTTTTTTTTTTTTTTTTAAAGTATATTTTTTTTAACTTTTTTGGCTTTTTTTTTTTTTTT